TTTGGAGGAATGCCATAGAGCCAGCATCCTGTTGCTGAACGACGGCACCGTCGAGATTGAGACCGATTTTTTACGTGAAGCACAGGCTCCCCGTGAACGCTGAGTCACTCCGGTCCGCTATGCCATCTTCGTGCTGGGCCACGCACCTGGCGAACCTGATGTACCCGCGCCTGCTGCACAACGACCCCTGCAGCCCATGCCGGACGAGGCGGTCGTGCAGGACGAGATCCAGCAAGGTTTAGTGCAAGAAGGCCTGGTGCGGCAGGACTTCAACGATGAGGTGTGGTTCGTCGGCGGGCCGCTGAAGGAGAAGGAGAAGGCGGTGGCACGTGCTCTGGTGAGAGCGCATCGCAACTTGGGACATCCACGGCAGGAAGACTTTACGCGGGCTTTGGCCCACGACCCTAAAATCCTGCCTGAGGCGATCGCTTTGAGTCGCCGGTTGCGGTGCGCAACTTGCGAAAGAACCAAACGACCATTGCCGCCGCGCCCCTCTACTTTGAAGACCGTGGGGCCCTTCAACTCGAAGCTTTGTATGGACTTCGTCTACGTCAACGACTACGAAAAGAAGTGCCATCGATTTCTCCATTTGTTGGAGCCGAACGGTTCCTACAACATCTACTACCCCTCGAAGACACGCGTGCCCGAGGATGTCTTCGAACTCTTTTGTGATATTTGGTCCTCATGGGCCGGTTTTCCTGAGTTCATCCACGTCGACAAGGACGGGGATTTGCAGAGCGCATGCAGGCTCTGGGTGTGGATATGGACAGCATCCCAGCGGAAGCCCATTGGCAAGCAGGGTCCATCGAGGCCTACAACCGGGCGTTCCGCTACGCCGCTGAAAAGATAGTCGACGAGAAGCAGCTGTCAGGTGACCTCGAGATGAAGATCCTGGCGGCTTCGGTGAGCGCGAGCATGAATGAAAAGATCAGGACCTGCGGCTGTATAGCCCGAACGAGTGGCTTTTCGGCCGACACCCCTGCTTAGCGTCGACGGCAAGATCGAGGCCTTGCAGAGCATCGACATTGAGGCCGAGCTGCGCCGGAGACAGCAGATACGTGCTCTCGCCGACCAGAAGATCGACGAGTTCTCTACGAACGACTCCCTGCGCAAGGCAATCCTCCGACAGGGCAGGCCCACGCGGCAGAGCTTGTGGCCTTTTGGAGGGCTCCTAAAGTTCGACGAGATGCCAAAACCCGCAAAGGGAAGAGAGTCCCTGGCGGATGGTACCGAGCCACTGTGATCGGGCCACACAAAGGCGACAAAGGCCAGAACAACTATTGGGTCACTTCCGGTGGCCGCTGTATCTTGGTGGCACGTGAGCAGCTTCGGCCGGCCTATGGCACCGAGTTGTGGAGGAATTCGTGAAGAAGATCTCCGCGAAGTGTTGGGTCAGCCACCTAGCGAGTACGTCGACGAGAGAGCGGACATCTTTCCGGAGGAGATCGCGAAAATGCCGGGAGAGGTCGTGCCGCTGTACGGCGATGGCCCAGACGAGGAGGAGGAGACCATCGACGGCGAGGAGGCTCAGCGAGACGAGTTACCACTTCACGACCTACGAGCTCTCGACGGACTGCCACCTCGCGAACCAGACGGAGAACCGCATCGCGAACCTCATGGAGAACCACGTCGCGAACCTCATGGAGAACCACGTCGCGAACCTCATGGAGAACCACTGGTCCCTTTAGTTGGACATGGCAACCAGGACGTGGATGGGTCGTCGGCGCCTACAGATACGACACAGTTGTCTCCATCGGCCGCTCGAGGTATGGCTTCACGGCTACACCCGGAAGAACCTGAACCGAAGAGGCTGCGCTTAGAGGAGGAATCCGTCGAAGGTCCCGTGCCACAGGACGATGACAACATGGCTGAGTTCCTGGAGGCGCTGCTCACCAACCGCTACATCCCGGTGTCCACGGAGGAGTTGGCGGCGAAGCCGACGGAGGCGTTCCAGTTCAACGTGCTGGCCGAAGGTGTGCGGGACCGAAGCGCCCACCAGACTCGGAAGGAGCAGAAGGCGCTCGAGAAAGAGATCCCTTTCTCGATGATTCCTGAGGAACAGCGCCCCGCCTACCGCGAGGCATTGGACAAGGAGTGGAGCACCTGGAAACGCTACGAGGCAGTCGCTCCTCTTAGTCTGGAGGCCAGTCAGGCTGCCGAGGCGGAGTATCCCGCCAACCGCATCCTCGACACCAGGGTTTGCTACCGCAATAAGAACGCCGGCTACTCTTGGATGCCTCTGAAGCCGAAAGCCAGATTGGTATGCAGAGGCGACAGGGATCCGGATCTGCTTCAGCTCCGGCGCGACGCGCCGACCTTGACGAGAATGTCACTGATGATGATCCTGCAGCTGGCGGCGTCCAACGTCGAGTGGTTCCTCTTCAACTCGGACATCACCGGAGCGTTTCTACAAGGAGACCAAAGCATGGCAAGCCGTGAGCTCCCGTTGTTTCTTCGTCAACCGCGAGAGGGGCTTCCGGGTTTGCTGGCCGGCCAATTACTGCTGGTGATACGTGGGATCTTCGGCTTGGCTAACAGTCCGAGGCTGTTCTGGAGGCACCTGAGGGACACCTTGAAGAGCTTGGGCTTTGTGCAGTCCACCTTGGACAAGGCCCTCTTCTTCTACTACCAGGCGGGACGGCTGATCCTGCTGCTGGGCACCCACGTCGATGACCTCCTCGGCGCTGGAGTTCCGGGGCTGGCAGACGAAGTCTTGAAGCGAGTTAAAGATGCGTTCGACTTCGGTGCCTGGGCCGACAGCCGAGAAGGCGAGAGCCTTGAGTACGGAGGCAAACAAATCCGCAAGGAGAAAGACGGCACCGTCACCCTCAGCCAGAGCAAGTTCATCCAAGCCATCACCGTCACACCTGTTCCACGGTGGAGAGCTCTGATGGTGAACGAAAGCCTCTCAGCGACTGAAGCGACAGAGTTGAGATCCGGCGGGGGATGCTTGCATTGGCTTATCGGCCAAACGCGGCCGGACCTTGCAGCCGCTACGAGCTTGTGTATGTCCGGGCAGCCTACGGTGCAAAACCTGGTGGAACTTAACCGAATCCTTAAGGAAGCGAAGTCTTCGCAGGACTGGTGTTTACGCTTCGTGCCAGTGGACTTGGAGACGGCTCGCATCGTGACCTACACGGATGCTTCGTGGGCCAATGGGCCCGACCTGAAGTCTCAAGCAGGCTACCTGACCTTCCTCACTGGCGACCAGGTGTTCTCTGTGGAAGGCGCCGCAGCTTCGCTGATCGATTGGAGGTCACACCGGATCCAACGACAGTGTCGCAGCACGTTGGCGGCCGAGACCATGGCGATGGACTGCGGTTTCGACAGTGGTGTCTTTGTTCGGGAGCTGTTCGCCGAAGCCCTCATCGAGAGCTACGTGCCGACGCAGAGCGGTCGACTACCCGAGCAGCTTCTACCAGTACACCCTGTGACAGACTGCCGTAGCTTAAGGATGGCCCTGTACATTCCACTCAGGAGAAACGCCTGACGATCGATGTTGAGGCCATCAAGCAGAGTGCGGCTGAGTTTGACCCTGTGCAAGAGAGCTTACATGAGACCTTTAAGTGGGTTGATACGCACCGCCAGCTTGCGGACCATCTCACGAAAGTCAAACCGGCCCACTTGTTGCGTACAGGGCTCAGCAAGAATCACATTGCCCTCCAAGCTGTTGAGAAGCAATAAACTTGCCTTCTCGAATAAAGAAGCTTGGTGAGTGCAAAGCTGTTTGCATTCACACAGGTGAGGAACCTTCGGATCTGCGGCCATTTAGGGCCCTTGAGCTTGGCGCGAATGTGCGCGCACAAGGCCGAGGTAGTGAACCCCTCGCTTTCTTCTTCTTTGAGACCTGTAGTGCACCCAGGCTCCACTAACCAGACTTCGGTTGTGAACCCCGAAAGTTGCAGCTGGAACAAAAAGTTGCGGCCAGTACGAATGCGTATAGAGAGCACGCATTCACTTGAGTGCAAGTCTGCTTCCTTGACAGGTCCTCAGTTTCCTTTTCGGATGCAAGAGAAAAGGGTAGCTTAAACTTTGGACGGCAAATAAATCGAGGTGGACAAGGGTGATTTAGAGCACGCTCACCGTTCCAAACCAATGCAGCTCCGATGGCAATTGACAAGCAGGCGCTCGAAGTTTAAGATAAATGCCTGTGAAGCTAAAGAAGTCCGGTATGAACAAGACTAAATGGGTAGTCGCATCGCTCGGCAACTCCACGCTTAGTTAGGGCAAAGAATCACGGCTATGGGGACGTTGATTCTGGCACAGCACAAGAACGTACACTGAAGTCGAAGCGCCTTCAAGGTCTCCAAGCTCAGCCGTTTTGGAATCCGTTTCATCATCAAGAACATAGTCGCTGCTATCTCTCACGAGCACGGTGTTGTGCAGGCCCATGATGCCTCACTGTCATGTGCACTTGATACAACTAGCAATCCACGAAGTGATCCTGGCAACAAGCACAGTTATTGGGCTTTGGCCAAGACACTTGCCCCTCCCGAAATCTAGCGAGCAGCAGGTACAAACACGGCGGTAGAGCTGTGAGAGCACACAGGGTTTTCTGCATGTGCAAGTGCTTGATGAGCTTCTGGACGTTCGGTGTTGGTGTGGTGGGGAGCGGGAGCGACATTCCCAAAGTTAGGGGGCCTACGTGTCGGGACTGTCGGCCCTAAGTCATAGCACTCCGCGCCAATTGCCCCATTGGATTGGACACGCTCACACCCACACCCACCCACCCACCCCCAGCCAGCCAGCCAGCCACCCACCCACCCACCCACACCCACCCACCCACACCCACCCACCCACACCCACCCACCCACCCACATGCACATGCACATGCACACGCACATGCACACGCACACGCACATGCACACGCACACGCAAGTCTTTTGCTGCGACTACCCCACTGCCAGTCCAAGAATTGAACGCAGGTACCGTAATCAACACTATTGGAAGACTACGAAGATCTGCGCGTCCATGGTATGTTGGGATGCTTCTGAATGGAGGTCCCGGCAGCGGTGCTGACGCAGCGCGAGAAGCCCTTCCTGGTTTCGTATGCCGGGGCGGCGTGCTGGCTGAGGACACTTTGCTCGCAGCTGCAACTTGGAGCCGTGCTTTGACCTCGAAGGAAGCTGTTGAGCTGCTTCGAGTCTCTTTCCTGCAGCAAGCAACAGCGTTGCAGTCGGGGAGGTCTGCCTGACGGTGAAGCAGCTCAGGAGTTTTATGCGACCGGCAACCCCAATGCCCCTGAAGCGAAGCGACATCGACCGCTCCCGAATGCTTCGACGAGACTCTACATGAAGACTTCCGTCATGCTAGCTAGGTGCGTGTTTCCGGTTTCAGTGAGTTTGTCTTCTCCTGGAATCATCAGGTGACGCCATTGGGGACAAGGTGAACGAACTGTGCTGATGGAAAGAGAAGTCTGTGCACGCGGGCAGTGCTGCGGCTGCTACCAACTGGCACAAGCACCGTCGTCCAGAATGCTTGGGTGGTTTCGTTAGTTCGACATCCTGCCACCCGCATCACAGGAAGTGTCCGAACCCTCGCCTGTCGAGAGTCGGGCCGCCATTCAGAGTCGCGAGCGCCCGGAACGTTGGTTTCATGGCCCCGGACACATTGGACATGCACGTCCAGGTCTTGACGCCAAGTAGCCCCACCCAAGTCCAGCCTTCCGGAAGGAGCGGGGGAGACTGTGAGTTCAGGTGACACTCAGCGGAAAGAGTCTTTCCAGAGAGCATGGTGGTTCCAATTGTTTTTGGGCTTGGGCTTCATATGAATCGTATTGAACGTCGTCAGCATTTTGAAGGTAGGCTTTGGATGATTATGGGTTCATATGAGCTGCAAACAAACTAGGCCATATAGGCCTTTGTTTGTCCGAGCAAAACAGTCTGAGTCTCGCAGTCTTCGGATACTGCTTCGCTGGATACCTAGGGACAGACACCAGCACCATTGTTCCAATCTTTTTGTATTGGAGCGAAATTTCGCGATCCAGTAGTACTGTTGCATGTCGCACATGTTCGGACAGAAATGCGAACCTTCCCAGCAGAAGGGAAATGTAGCTTTCCATTGCGGTTGGCAGTTGGGTCAGCAGGCAAACACTCTCAATTGCAATGTAACCCACGCATGTTGGAAAGACGTACATCGTGATCGAAGCTTCACATCTGTCTTCAGCAAAACAGTAGGAGAGTAGGACTGAGCAAGCCGCCGTGCGCCGTCGAGCTCCGAGCAGCCAGAGTTCGGCACGCAGAATGGCGTCATGGCCGCGGATGACCCCCTGCGATTCTCTTTGACAAGGGCTCAGCTTGGCTTGCCGCATTCGCTTCGGGGACCCGCGTTTGCGCTCCTGTGACTGCAGGCCTGGGGTGGATGGAGCGAAGCGCAGCTTAGCCGCTTTGCATCAAGGGGATCTATGGATCGTGAGGATTCGCTGCTTTTCAGATATCCACTGTGAGTCTTCCAGGGACCTCCCTCCACGGCTCCGACCTATCTGCCGAATCCCCGGTGAAGGACATTTGATGGGTGCGGAGCACATGCGTTTGTTTCGGATTCAAGGTCGGAGTCGGCTTCGAGTTCCCCCAAAGCTCGACGCCTGCTTGGAAGCGGCCGCTTCAATGCCGAGGATGTCCGAGCATTCGGAACAGAGATGAAGAGTAGCCCTGCCCGGATGATGAGGAGTTAAAATGCTTCCAGCGCATTCCGTCTCCGTCATCGACGTATCAGCAGAAAGCAGAGGTGACCCGGTGCTGGCCTTTGGAAGCGCGTATGTGGACGGCCGCCGCGCAGGTGTACTGGCAGAACATGGGCCCCATGAGGAAGGCCCGGGGCCCGGCTCTGGGCCCGGGCCGAGCGGGCAAAGCGGGCAAACGCGCTGAGGTCCACGGTGACCTGGGTCTCCACACGCTTCCGGCAATGAGGGCCGCGTGCTCGGCTCGAGAGATAAGACTCAAGCAAAACTTGCCTTCCGAGAGCCACCGGAAACAGTTCAGTGACCCCCGACAGCACGACAATGATGTTTTTGGCATGGTTCAGTTCTTTGCACATGCACTGACTGATTGGTTGCTTCATGTGGAGCGGTCCAGCATGGTGGCTGCTACCACTTTGTGTTCACCCTGACAGACAATGATGTTTCAGGAATCCAGGATGCACACACGAAAATGCGCAAGAGTGCACCAAGCGCAAGACGCTCGAGGCGCCCATGGCGGCACAGCAGGTATGCGAGAGCCTGGGCACGATATTCCACGGGACTCTGGCAAGAGCACCGCTTGTGGGCCCAACTGGCATCCAGCACCCTTCCATCCAGACCTTGTCCATAAGAGGACCGCGGCGGATCCCGTGTTGGGAAGTCTGAGCCCGTGTGCCACCCTTGCGGAGATTCCGGAGCTGAGCTGAGCTCACGGAGACGGGGGCTGCTCCCCAGGGAAGGCCTCGGTGCCTCGCCCCCCCCAGCAGCCCAGCACCACCCGCTCCCTCCGCTTTTTCGAGTCATTTTTGAGAGGAGTGCTTAAAGAGGCTGCTCGTCGGGCTCCGGCTCTCCTTCACCGATGTGCCTTCCCGGTGTTGGTGTCCTCGAGCCCAGGGCGAATTCTATCGCTACCGCGCTGCCTCGTCGCCCCAGGACGGCGTTGATTCGGCTGAGTCTGACGCCTGTTGGCGTTTGGTTGGTTTGTCAGGAAGCCAAAGAGGAGACGACCAGGCAGTCGCGCAGCTTGCTCATGGCAGGTTCAGGGCAGTCAACGTAGTGGCAGGCAAGAGCCCGTCGCCGAGAAGCCTACGCTGCTGCCGAGGGAGGCATGGAGAGAACTGCGGAACTTGATTGACCTCGGTGCAAGAGGGAAAGACAGCATCTCCAGGAGATGACGGCGAGCTTGCTAGATGAGATCGGCACTTGGGGCCAAGAGGTTTAAGATGAGAAAAGCAGAGCTGGTAGAGCTGGCTTTGAGGATCTATCCTCGGCGACCACCCTCCAGGGAGAAGGAAGAAGATGCGAGAGGCAAGTTCGTCGCTTACACCGTTAAGAAGCTGTCTCAGTCTCAGGCTCCCTTTGGCTGTACAATACCAAGGTCTCAGAATCAGAAGCTGCGCAAGCAGACCGCATCCAATTTGCCAGAGCAGTGTGCCCAATGCCGTCCCAAGGCTGCTAGCCGTGTTTAAGTTGTCATGATTTTCTCGTCTCAGGCAGACTGGCCACATCTCTGGAGCCAGTGCCCAAGACTTGATCTTCGGCTTGCCGCCCACCAGATCCTTAAGATCTCCCAGGAACGTGCCACGCTTGCCCCAGCCTCAAGTCGCTTTGTGAGAGTGCAACCTTTCGCAACTGGTCCTGCGGCCTGCGGTTCGCTCTGTGAGGCAAACGGGCTCGCGGCCAACAAAAACTTGTCGCAGGCTTCTCGACGGCCGCGAGGCTCAGAATTGGACTGCCTCCATGGCACTTGGCCGCTCAGACTTTGGACCGGTGAACGTGCTGAGGCTGATCCATTTTCGACAAAGGATCCTTGAGAAGTTCTCGACCATGAAGTCTGCCTTCGAAACGTGGTGTACTTGGCTGGGAATTGGCTCTGTTGCTGCTGTTCCCCATGCAGTTCGAGCTCTGACCGTTGCAACGTGTTGCAATGTGAGGTTTGCACAGGAGCATGGCCCTCACGGCACCACAAAGGAGCTTACGAAGAAGGAGCAGCATGCACAAGCTTCCGACCTGCCCTCCCCCATCATGCCGTGTACACGAGCGGGGTCAGGAATTCTCACGGTTCCTCTTCCGTCACTTCAACGGCCTCCCGAAGGAGGTGTGTGTGTGTGTGTGTGCGTGTGTGTGCGTGTGTGTGTGTGTCGTGTGAAAGTCGGGATTGGTTGCTGGTGTGTGGACCACGATTGTGGACCACGATGATGAGCTCTTGTGATGCCAGTTCAAGCTTTGTGGCGGCAATGTGTGCTGCGAGCTTCGCACGCGACCTTTTGCTGCTGGCTCCAGGAAGGCAGGGTAGATGCATGGTATGATGTGATGTGCTGCGGCGCGCTGGATCGAGCACACCCCGGTGCCTCGGACGCGATTCTCGGGATCGGAGCGGACGTCTCGCGTCGCTTCCGAGGTGTTCTCCAGGCGCTGAGGCGAAAGCGGGGCCATGGCTGGAGCCTCCGCGGCCCTGGCCTTGGCCGCCTTGGCCTAGCCTCGCCTCGGACGTTCGGAGATGTTGGGACCGTCGGAGCGGATGCGTAGAGCAACGGATTCTCTCAGATCTCAGGTCTTCATCATGGACATGAAGGGGAAGGTCATCATCAGCACGAGCCTCGCTGCACGGGTGACTCGGGACATCCGGCAAGTCCTTCGCCTGGCGAGGCAGAAACTATCGAGGTGAAGTGCCAATGAACATCACCGAGAGGTCTGCCATTCTTGCATCCAAGTGTAGCTTACACCTTCGCAACAGCCCTTGCAGCAATGCGTGCCGGCAGGTTCCAGCAGCACGTGATTGACGCTGAGGACGCGACGATAAAGCCAGTTTTCTGCGAGGACACTTGGGTTGTGCAAGGTCTTTGTTTCCTTGCTTGTTTCCATGGCCTCGCACCTTCTGTTCTTAGTGCCAAATCACAGGATGGCATCAGTTTCGCGTGGATCCAGCACTTCGTCTGAATTGCTTTGCGGGAGCAGTGTTGGACTGGGGCCATCTTTGGTGAGGTAGAGCAGTGTTGATTTCCTGCAAAAAAAAATCTTGCAAGAGCACAACGGCTTGGATGAGTTGTCGCTGCCATCTGAAGCAGCTGGCATGATGTGTAGCAAGGTATAACAACCTCTACTTGCTAGCACGGCCCTCAAATCTCATGGCTGCCATGCTGACCGACTTTGACGGACTTTGGCTGCAGCCAGAAAGAAGCTACATCGAGGCTGTCACCCAGAGAAACTCCAACGCCACCTTGATTGTGGCATTTCTCTATAGATTGGCAGAGGTGTGGACGTGTGTCTGTTATCTTCACACACAGCACGTGCACTCACATGGGTGAGATGCTGTCTTACAGGTTCTCAGAGATTACTTCAATGAGCTCGAGGAGGAAAGCATAAAGGACAGCGTGTGAGATCATCTAGCATCCCACGGTCGTCCAGCCACCGAGCATGTCAAAATTCAGGACAACTTTGTCATCACCTATGAGCTCCTAGATGAAATGATGGACAACGGCTACCCTCAGACAACCGAGGCAGTCTTGAGCCGACCTGCCGATCTGACAGAGATTAGGAGCTTGTGAAGGTCAAAATCCTGAGGGAGTACATCAAAACCCAGTCACACCAGCTGGAAGCTCGTCTCTCACTGCTGAGTCTTTCTGCCGAGTACCTGTCTCGCAAGGTTGTCTGTGGACCAGATGCGACCGCCGACGGCAGTGACAAACGCCGTGTGATCAGCTCAGTCTACGCAAAAACTCTTCGAAAGCGGTGGGGCAAATGCCGCACAGTCGTCGAGGTCTTGGCGGTCCGAGGGCATCAAACACAAGAAAAACGAGATTTTTTTGGATGTGGCCAGCGGCCCTGATTCGGTTGAAACGCAATTGGTGCTCTGTGCGGCTGATGCGATCGAGGTGGAGCGCCTCAACCTCTTAGTTTCAGCCAACGGCTCTGTGCTCCGTTCGGAGATCTTGGGTGCACTTAAAATGAAGCCGACTGCTCAGCAAGTACACCAGGATAGAACAGCTGTGATGGTGCTTGCCATGCGCCTATAGGTCATACCTTTCCGGCATGCCAGAGCTGAAGCTGGGTCTCAACGACAAGCTTCTCTTCGAGGTTGGCGGCTCAGTTAGACTGCATTGCTACAGTGTGCTGCAACTGCCAGGCCACTGGACGACCCGTGGCCAAGGGAAAGTCCGTAGAGATGGAGGCAATATTGTGACCCGTGACACCTTCACGCCTTGGCAGCACGGTTTTGACTCGGACTCGTTAACTGTTCTGGAGGACATCAAATTCCATCAGTGTGTACGGCTCGCTCGATTCGAGAACGACCGCACGATTTCCTTCATTCCGTGACTTGGCTGCCCCCAACTTGTGTCAGCTGTGTTGGCTCAGCGTGTTCAGTCTAGGCCCGACGGAGAGTTCGAGCTGATGAGTTACAGACTGAACACCCATGTGAAACCCCTCATATGGGTCGAGGCTGGAAGCCGTTCTCTGCGCTGTTGAAAGCTGTGTGCTAAGTATTTTCTTGCCGCTTCTTTGCGAGTGGCAGGCAGTGGTGGATCCCGGCCACTCACGGTCGAGGATCGAGCAGCTCAGCCCGGAATAGCTGCCTCATCTTGTCTTGTTCCCTGACGCCTTATGTGACCATGTTGCTGAGGTATATGATAAAAGCGAAGTCGCAATTCAAATCGCCATGCGCCCAATTGTGTGGATTTCTGGCAGCCCTTTGACACCCTGTGGACACCGAGCGGAATCTTCCCAGGCGTAGTGTAGCCAACAACGTGGAGATCCACATCCCGGTCCCGTCAGACGTCGACTCGCCGTCGTTCAAGACGTCGATCGGCACCGTCAGATACATCCCCGATCAGGACCGGAAGGGCCTATGTTTAGGGCCTCCAGGGCTTTCCAAAGCTGAGACTCCCAAATCTCTTCGGCCGGATCTCTGAATTCACTGAATTCGCTGGCTCCCTGCTTGCGCGCAGGATTGCATAGTCTGGAGCATTAAGCAGTTCCAAGGTTGCAGCCTCGGAAGCGTCAGCAACACTTCTCCTTGGTAGCAGTCTGAAACCAGTTTCAGCATCGCTACTTTCAACGCTTGTTTGAGTTCTACTGGGACTGTCGTTGTTGCTGCATGGGGCATGGTATAGGTACTTAGTAGCATCAGTCATCATCATCATCATCATATTTATGGGCTGCCGCCACTGCCGCCGACCCCAAAAGAAGAGAGGTGACTATCCAAGGAACGCAGCAGGTGTTGAAAGCAGCCAACTGCAAGTCTTGTAACTGGCACGAGTAGCATGAGCACATGACTGATGCGGCGAAGTATTCGGACTGACGCAGTGCTCAGCTCTCGGACATTGTGTGCGCATGTTTCAGCAACCTTGTGACTCAGAGGCAAAAGGCATCCGCACAAAACCGAGTTTAGCCGGAAGGCTGTATTCGATATGCTTAAGATACGGAGCCAGTGCAGTTGTGGCCATGGGATGGTACGACATGGTACGACAAAAAAGTCGCGCGCGCGCGGCGGCGCATCGCAAGGCCGGGGCGGGCAGTGAGGACAATAAAGGTAGTGTGGGCGGTGTGGGCGGTGGGGGCGCGGTGGGGTCCGGGCACACATTGGCAGCCTTTAAATACTTATTTTACTCTTTAAACACGTACAAATACAGCGGGCGGTGGGAACGGTGAAAGCGGTGGAGGGGGATGAAGGTGGTGGGGGTGGTGAGGGCGGTGAGGGCGGTGTGGGCGGTGTGGGCGGTGGGGGCGCGGTGGGGTCCGGGCACACATTGGCAGCCTTTATAAATACTTATTTTACTCTTTAAACACCTACAAATACAGCGGGCGGTGGGAACGGTGAAAGCGGGGGAGGGGGATGAAGGTGGTGGGGGTGGTGAGGGCGGTGAGGGCGGTGTGGGCGGTGTGGGCGGTGTGGGCGGTGTGGGCGGTGAGGGCGCGGGGGGGTCCGGGATGGTCCGGGCACACATTGGCAGCCTTTAAATACTTATTTTACTCTTTAAACACCTACAAATACAGCGGGCGGTGGGACGGTGAAAGCGGTGGAGGGGGATGAAGGTGGTGGGGGTGGTGAGGGCGGTGAGGGCGGTGTGGGCGGTGGGGGCGGTGTGGGCGGTGGGGGCGCGGGGGCGTCCGGGCACACATTGGCAGCCTTTAAATCCTCTTTATTCTTTAAACACCTACAAATACAGCGGGCGGTGGAGACGGTGAGAACGGTGAAAGCGGTGGAGGGGGATAAAGGTGGTGGGGGTGGTGAGGACGGTGAGGGCGGTGTGGGCGGTGTGGGCGGTGGGGGCGAACGTGGAAAGCGGTGGATGAAGGTGGTGGGGGTGGTGAGGGCGGTGAGGGCGGTGTGGGCAGTGGGGGCGGTGTGGGCGGTGGGGGCGCGGGGGGGTCCGGGCACACATTGGCAGCCTTTAATTTCTCTTTACTGATTAAACACCTACAAATACAGCGGGCGGTGAGAGCGGTGGAGACGGTGGGAACGGTGAAAGCGGTGGAGGGGGATGAAGGTGGTGGGGGTGGTGAGGGCGGTGAGGGCGGTGTGGGCGGTGGGGGGGGTGAAATGCTCTTTACTCTTGAAGCACCTACAAATAGAGCGGTGGAGACGGTGGGAACGGTGAAAGCGGTGGAGGGGGATGAAGGTGGTGGGGGTGGTGAGGGCGGTGAGGGCGGTGTGGGCGGTGGGGGCGGTGTGGGCGGTGTGGGCGGTGGGGGCGCGGGGGGGGGTCCGGGCACACATTGGCAGCCTTTAAATACTCTTATATACTCTTTAAACACCTACAAATACAGCGGGCGGTGAGAGCGGTGGAGACGGTGGGAACGGTGAAAGCGGTGGAGGGGGATGAAGGTGGTGGGGGTGGTGAGGGCGGTGAGGGCGGTGTGGGCGGTGTGGGCGGTGTGGGCGGTGAGGGCGCGGGGGGGTCCGGGCACACATTGGCAGCCTTTAAATACTTTTTTTACTCTTTAAACACCTACAAATACAGCGGGCGGTGAGAGAAGCGGTGGAGGGGGATGAAGGTGGTGGGGGTGGTGAGGGCGGTGAGGGCGGTGTGGGCGGTGGGGGCGGTGTGGGCGGTGGGGGCGCGGGGGGGTCCGGGCACACATTGGCAGCCTTTAAATACTTTTAAAAGGGCGGCGGTGGCGGTAGGGGCGGTGTGGGCGCGGAGGGGTCTGGGCACACATTGGCAGCCTTTAAATACTCTTATATACTCTTTAAACACCTACAGATACAGCGGTGAAGGACTCTTTAAACAGAGCGGTGGTGGAGGTTGTGAGGGCGGTGGGGGCACTGGGGGCGCGGAGAGGTCCGGGCACACATTGGCAGCCTTTACATACTCTTTAAACACCTATAACAGCGGTGAAAGACTCTTTTAACAGAGCGGTGGAGGCGGTGGAAGCGGTGTGGGTGCGGACACCTCTCGGGATATCACGGGCGCCGCCCGCAGGGGTCGGCGGATAATCATCATCATCATCATCATCATCGTCATCATCATCGTCATCATCGTCATCGGCAGCCTCTTTCAGAGATCGAGGAGGGAAGGCTCTGTGGCCAAGCCCTCATCTGTGAAACCGACGTGCATCAGGCCAGAAGGACTTCATTATGACAGCCAATTTCGGACTCCCCTCTGTCGGTGCAGAGAATCGGGATGCCTACATGAAGGCACTCTTAAGCCTCTCGATTTCGGGCCATGATGCCAAGACGCTTAGCTTTAAGCGGTCTCCAGGCACCAATGTCTGTGAAGTTCGAGATCCCGTATTTCACGGTTTCCGGAGTGACAGTCAGGTGGACCCATCTGTTGCTCTTTGATAGAAGTCCATGCTTCCCTGTGTGCCAGGTATCTCAAAATTATCGAGAAGTCTGGCTATCAGGCTCCGGTGAACCTTTCCTTGTTGGGCCTTGTCCAGGAGGTTTGCCGAGGCAGGCTGCATTCTAGAATCGCAGGCGCTCCCTTGGGTGCGCTACATCACCCAGAATGGGGATTACCAGCTTCGTATGGTCTGACACCCAGTGGCTGACTTCGTCGCCTCGGTGTCGCCAAGCGATTTTGGAGGTCTAACGGCCGCGAGCTTCGACAATGACCCTGAGCAGCCTGGAGACTCAGCAGATGCCGTTGCTGCTGCTGCTGCTGCATGCTGCTGTGCGTTGTGTTTGTCGAGGCACCATCGCTCTGCAGAGATGGCCGGCTCAATCCTCCTGGGCTCCTCTTGTCCAGAGCACTCTGGAAATCTGGAATGCGTAATTGGCGCATCGGCAACTGCAAAGATCTTTAGAGATCTTTGCAAGTTCTCTGACGGGGCCTGTGCAGAAGGCCTAGATCGGATAGCTCTTTCCTGCTATACGGCTGTTGAAGTCCATTCAGATCAATGCAACGCTACTGTTCTAGAATCGCAACCCTGGTCGCTGACGCATATTCGATTGAGCAATTCGAGAGCGAGCATGAGCAACAAGCGAAGCAGCTCGAAGGCTTGAACAGCGGAAAAAGCTTTGCGAGCTGTCGCATCAGAACTCGCGCCTAAGGGCATACATGCATCAATGCTTCTCGGTCCGGAGGTTGTTCAGCATTGCAGACTGCTTTTATGCGGGAGGAACACATCAAAATCTTCGAGTTCCTGGACCATGACAAGAATGGCGCTGTTCTCAGATTCCTGAGAAAAAGGGAGGCAGAGGAGGCAGCGGCTGTTTTTCGGTCTGAGGCGTCGTGTCGCTCGACGAGTTTCACACGGCCGTCGAGGCCGCTGCGCCAGTGAAATCTCTCGAGGCAGGAACGGAACGCTCGGTTGTCTTTTATGCCTCGGCGAATCTCCGACTCTCGGAGGACTTGCGTCGGAAGTGGATCGCACTCGGCTACACCTCCATGAGACAGGCTGGGCATGGACACATGCGACGGAACGTAGTTTCCAGTTCCCCTCCGGAGCGCACGGAGGCTTTGTTGGGCATGGACCTGCACAAGGAGCCTGGCAGGCAAAGTGGGACATGCCTGCGTTTGGCTCTGTATGGGGCTCTTTGCCTGTTTCGATTCCGACAGATCCTTTACCCTGGCGGAGTTTGGGGCACACCTCGCCCGGGTAGGTGCAGCAGAGAGTTCTGGGACTTCGTGCCACACACACAGAGCATTTGCAGGAATTGAAGAGGAGATAGAGCATCAGGCAGTCCCTGCATGATTGCACAGAAAGCAGTCTTCTACGTTTTTGCGGCGTCAGAACATCTTCGGGGCAATCCGAGACCCTCACAGCTCACACCAGACTGTGCCGCCCTCACGGTGTGATGAGCCATCCTTCCATCTCCCTGCAGTTCTCCGAAGACGTGTTCCCGAGGTAACGCTGGAAATGCTAGCGGCAGCCATGAGTGCCATTTCTCCTTCCTTGTTGTTGGAGGAGCGCAGTGCACAGTCCGGAGCAGGAAAGCTAAGCTGCTAGCTCCCCATGAAAACTGCAAGCTTGCTGAAGTTCAGAAGGACCTACGTGACAAGATCCTCAAGAAGTTTGGGTTTGGCGTCCAGCTTGTGAAGCTGAGCTCTGCGCGGCGAAACCCTAACTCCTTTGATTTCAGGACGCTCTCCAACTGCTTCGCAGCGCTTGACATGGATCAGGGCGACAGAGGCTTAGCTCCCGCAAACCGCAGACCGGGATGGCATGACGTTGAGACTGGCTCAGAGCTGCGAGTAAGGAGTCTTTGGACATTGGGGAGTTCATCCGCTATGCCGTTCCTGCATGGAAGTGCTCGCCTTGGCTTTCTTTGCATAAGTGAGAAGCTGGTGGGAAACTTCCGTTCAGGTTGACGGCTCACGAGGCAGGCAAAGCTTTCCGGCTGATAGACGTGGACGGCAGCCTCCAAATAAGGCCCAGCAGTTACTGATATGCTGTGGGTGAGCACACGACTTTGGGCTGCGAAGCTTGTCAGTAAAGACGAATTCGTCACTGCACTCACGCTTTCAGAGCCGCTGTCTTAGCTGTCCATCCCCGGCCCCGGGTGTCGCTTGCGCGCTCTCACACTACCAGGCCAAACCTCTATCTGGATGAGATTCGTCGCAAAGTTCGCCAACGTTTCCGAAGTGCGCCTACCTTTCCGGCTGCAGTTTCAGACCTTGACAAGAGGGCTCTGGAGGGCTGGGTCGGGGCTGAGGGTGAGCGGTTTGGGTGAAGCAGCATGGCGACTGGTTTGGCTTGCCGTGACGGCGTGTCAGAGTCTCCATGCTGTAGGGCCTGGCACCTAAGACAGAAGGTGTATCGTCTTTGCACCGCAAAGTCCTCTCGTGCCCGAATACAAGTGGTGTAGAGGGCTCAGAAGCACGTTAGCAACTGGCGGGTCGGTGACGAGAGAGGAGAGAGGCAGCGCCTGTGCCAGGTATGCGAGGGCTGCTCAACGAGGGCAACGAGGACGACATCGAAGTTGATGAGGCGCACGGCACCGCCAGACACGGCAATGGTTTTCGATCACATGCCGTGCTGGTTGCAGGGAACCCGGCCCTGCATTCTGAGCAATCAACCATCGTTGCAGCATAATGCAATAATTCGCCTAGTCTCTGCTTACTTCTTCAGAGTCTTCCCAGCTACCACAGGTTTCGCCACTATGTCGCTGGTTGGCTAAATTTGGTTGGCTCGGTTTGTCGGATGCTCACGCCCCGTGCTTGCCTCGAGCTCTACTTTGTCACCTGTCTCCCAGTGTCGGCAGCGTGCCTGCGAAGTTCGCTCTTCTTGTGCGCCTTGAGTCGACACGTCGACCATGACCTGATGTGATGATGCCAGCTAAGTGCACAGGGACGAAGTGGTTGCCATTGGACCCACAAGAAGCGATTTCTACGCTGACGCAAACCATTGTTTCATGATTTTCATGCGTGCGCGAGAAGGCTTAGAGCTTAGCGTGGTCTGCCGTTTTTTGTGCAGGGTTGTGCATTGCAAACTCCGTTTAATTGTGACAGTGGTCTACCCAGTTGCCTGTGTTGAAGCGCCAGCCTTGAATGCGGTATGTTGCCCAAAAACACGAGATGACACGACACAAGTCAATGAGTTTGACAGTTTCGCCACCGAGTCGGTTTTGGACAAGGTCATGGAAATCGCGTTTGCTTATCGACTTTTCCGGCATGCGACGAGCAGTCTCATGATAGCTACTCTGTGCGCCTTAAGTCTACGGGGTTTTTGGCGTGTTCATCTGCTATGTGCAACTCCGCCAAAGCCACACCCTCGGCCTGGGCTCATTGCCGTGGGCTGCAGAACCCTCCTTGTATTGTGAGTGCACTTGGGGGCCATTCAAGATCTTAACAGTCTTAACATCGCTTGTGATTTCTTGCACGTCGCTTTCTGGTTTAAGACCCAGCCCAAGCCAAGGCAGAGGACCACACACGCACCTACTGGAGCATATCTGTATGGGATGGCTTGCAGTCCAAGTTGTCCCGTTGAGGTGGATTTGAAGCCGCCTCCACCACCGGCTGTGGAGATTGCACCCTCCAGGCCTGTCTGTAAGCTAGTTGCAAAGCTGAGGGCCATTGATCTGGCTGCAGAGGAAAGGATCTCTCTATCAGAGGCATTCCATCGTGGTGCAGGCCAGGAGGTGTTTGTTCTGCGTAGGCACAGGCATCGCCTGTGTTTCCGCAGAGGACTCCCCGCGCAGCGACGGCAACGGCAACGGCGGGATGACTGCCGAAGAGACGGGGCCCAAAAACGCTACGGGGGACGCGGGGGTGTGATGGTGCAGAGAGTATGGCGTACGCATAGACACGCACACCACGGTGTCCTGGTGTCTTGCCTGTGCCGAGATCCCGGCGAGCCGGCTGCCCAGCGGACGGAAAGATCGCCCAGTTTTGGAAGTTTTGTCGCTGAGGCGTCCTGGATCGCGAAGCATTCGGGCCTCGGTGCCGAGAAGGCGCAAGACCTGCTCAAGGCGGGATTGCTCGGGCTCGGGTGGCGGTGGCGGGGTGGCGGGGCCCCGCGGGCACGGCTCATGGTGCCTTCTGCAGGACCTGGTTGGACCCGCCTCTGAAACCGAAGATGACGGCCGGAGGCCCAGAGGTGGCGGCTCAGGGTGCTGATGCTGTGATGCTGTGATGACACTGAGGCCGCACTCCCGAGGAGTATCAGGAAATGCTCGGACAGGCCTTCTGCATGTTACATCCGGCGATTACTTGAGTGCACGGTGGACTTTGCATGTAATTGCAGGTGGTGGGTTTCGAGATGTTTCCAGCACATGACTGCAGACTTGTGGTAAAGACTCTTGCCGTCGACACCACCTGCGTTGCAAACGGAGCCATCCTGCTGGAGCTGGTCTTCGTAGATCTCGGAAGCACCGAACGAGAGCCTCCAAGGGGAGAGAGCCAGTTTCAAGCGGACCCTCAATTAGTTCAAGATCTCGAAGACTCCATCCCAGCGTCCCTCCGGGCAGTACCGTATGAGAAGAACGGAATCAAGAGAGCATCCGGAAATATCAGCAAGTGGCTGCAGAGTCGCAGATCCAGCGGGCTGCCATCAGAATAAGACCGTGTTCTCATCCCGGATTTCGGCAGGTGCAGCTTTCCGAGCAAGACACGAAAGCACTCTTCAATCTCATGGACGTGAACCGCGACGGCAAGGCAGGGCATTGAGCTCGAGCTGCCGAGCGAGAGGAGGAGCGTTGCCGTGCCGTGCTGTGTGCTGCCTTGTGGCAGTTGACAACGACGGAGTTCGAGCACGGCGTGCGGCTCTTCGCCCCCTCCACGGCCCTGGAGGCGAGCAGAGCGGAGCAGAGCGCAGAGAGAGCTCGAGCTGCCGAGCTCCCAGGACCTTCGCCTGGCCTGCATCTCGTGGCCTTCCCAACATGGAGACGAGCTCGTCTGTGGCGAAAAAAGCCCCTTTTGAAGCCGAGGAAGTACGGAGGCATCCCTGAGGCCTTTGCATCCCTCCGCCCGGAGCAGCGAGAGGCGGGGAAGGAAGGGAAGGGGGATCTCAGAACGGCCGATTGAAAGTGAAGGCCAGTTTGGAGTATCACCAGCTCAAGAAGATACTGGAGGAGTGCTGCTCTTCTTGTGTGTTCCGGACTCGCACCCAGCTCAAGCGGAAGGGGAGGTGTGACATCACAGTTGGAAGGATATTCGTATATGGGATGAGGGCACCGGTGATCTGCGATTGATCATGGACATCGTAGAGTTCTGGCCTCAAAGAGCGAATCTTGAAAGAAGACCCGAGGCTACACCACTCTTGGCTGCTGCTCTAGGACCGTTGTGCGGATGGTGTAGAGAGCATAACACTGTCTTGAACGTGAAGCCGCGAAGCCATACAGAACGAGAACTGAAGAGGCAGAGCAAAAGCCTCGCAGACTGTCTATGTCAAGCTAGAGTGAGCGCTCGCGTGTTAGACAAGAACATCTGTAGGAATGCCGGCACACCTGCAAAAACCGATGACGAATCTTTCAATTGGCTGTTGGTGCTGCACTTGGCAATCTTCCCCAAATCGTTGCAGGTCTCAATAGCTTGTCAGCCGTCTAGATAGAACAGTCCACTACGAAATTGTCGAATCCCCTTTCAGCTTGATAAACTGCATTAAATTATGCATGTCGACGATTTAAATTTCCAAAGACGCCTGGCCAAGACGGAGTTCACGTGCGTTTTGTGTCGTGGTGCTCGCCTTTTGCGTGTTTTATCAAAACATGGAGTGTTTTCTCTGTGCCGTGCTCCGAATGAGTCAACTTGTTGAGTCTAATGTCTTTCCGTGCTAGCGTCCGAACTTCAATTCTTGGTGATGCTCAAGAGAGACTCGACAAGAGAATCCTGCAAAGGTGCACCAGAGACGGTGGGACCAGCATCGGCCGTCTTGGCAGAAGTTTGCGACCAGTTTGCTCTGTCTCTGGCCATGTCTTCGCCAGGTGAACTTATGGCAGCCCTCCAAGCTGGGCAGTCCGGAACACAGGCCGGTCGTGCTGGGTGTCCATATTGTTTTCTCGTAGGCGCAGGCACAAAGCCACGTTTGCCTCATTTCGGTTCTGGGTTATCTCGGTTTTCACACTGAGGCAGTGACAGCATTGTCAGAGTTGAGTTGTTGATTGAAGTTGGCAGCACGGAGATGTCTGAGCAGCATCGCAAGAAGCAGGGGAAACAATATACCAACTGGAGGAGGCAAATATGAAACGCAAAAAGCGTGACTTAAGCTTGATCCTTAAGCCTATAACTTCAACCCATGAGCCCGAACGTCCCAAAAGCACCCACAAACAACAGACTCGCTGCACTTGCTTCTCTTCATGGGTGTCGTTGACAGACCACAGTACCGTGTTCCATGGCTGCTTTGTTCGACTGCTGAGGGTGAGTGCTGCACGCCCAGCCACATCATCGCTACGGTCCCTTAGAGAGATCCGAAGCCGGAGCATAGGCGAACCCGAGGACACCTCAACATGTCCCAGGGCTCGAAACGAAGCTTTTTGTTGTGTGGTGACCAAGCGTTTAATCATTTATTTAATGTCGGTATTGCACCACGGATGTCATTGTGTGGGGCTTGCGATGATTTCAACAGACCTCGAACTGGCCGTTTATTTGCCCGTTCATGGAACAGAAGCCTGTGACCTCTGCCTTTGGACATGTTCCAACCTTAGCTTAATTGTTGAGGCGATGCGTTCCCGAAAGATTGCCAGCACAGTGTGCGTATGGGTTGCCAAAATGCCTCGGCTTCGGTTTTTTGTAGCCCAAAGCAGTTCAAAGCAACTCCACGGATTGAGCCGAGGGCTTTGAATTTTCGAAGCTGGGAGAGCTTTCAGCCTCCTAAGATGGACTTTTTGACAGGTTCGGCTCCCGGCGGAGCAGCGTGATGCTAAAGTGCGGCAGCAGGCGAAGCTCGGCTTCACTGCACACAGAAAGTAGGTGGAACTCGCTGTAAAGGTGAAGTGGCAGATGGCTCCTTTCCGCCGATGTGCTTCTGATCTGCGAGCCCATGGCCGCATGCTCGGGTTGCGAAACCAAGCTAAAAGCCTTGCCTTCGCTTCAGTTGCGAAGCGGCGGAGGGCAATGAGAGGCCTGCCTGAAGGCCCAAAGAAAGAGAGAGCAGGCAAGCAGGATTCGCCGCAGAGGCGGAGGCTTCTTGTGGTGACGGCAGTGCAGCGGCTCGCTGAGTTCGGGAGAAGCTGAATGCCCACGAGTTGGAGCAGATGTGGAATCCCAGGTTGGGGGATGCTAGCGCGTCATGCAGTCATGCAGTCATGCTGAGGCATGCTTCATGCTGCTGCAAGCTTGCCAGGTCTCAGGAGTCGCATGTTGCGGACAAGAGCAAGAGTGCAGCCCTGCGTGCAGAGACTCAGACGGCCATCCACAAGTGGAAGAGGCTGCCGTTCCCCACTGCCGTGTTGCGGTAAACAGGTTACAAGCTGTCAGCAGATGGAGTGTCATCTCGAGTGCATTTGCTGCAGTGCAGGGATAAGAGTCTGCCCGCCTTGCGGCGCATCGAAAGGGCCTCGGTTCTTGAATCTTTTGCATCAAGCACGGCCGCACAGAGCAAACAGGATCATGAGGGTCAAGACCCTTCCTGGGCCGGGTCGCGAGCCAAGATGGTGCTTCTGGATGCGGAGCATGGGGCGTGATGGTGCCTGTTCTGCATGGCCGTCTTGGCTGAGGTTGTCTGTAGCTGCCGAGGACGCTGGGTTTTTGGATCTCAGAAGATGGAATGCCGGGTGAGATTCCAGGAAGAGCTTTCCAGCAACACCATTCCGTGGGGCCCCATGCGAACGAGCTTCTCCAAGGTGCCCCTTCTCTTCTGTTCCGCTGTTTTCTTCTCCGCTGGTCTGCTTGGCGCGCCTCTTTCGGGAGCCGAGCTGTTTTCTCTGCTCTTGATGGCTGCAGGTTTCGGGGTTCTGCCGGGCATGTGTTGAACTCGCACAGCCTGTCAATTGTCAGCGCCTGGGACCCGTCTGACCCTGCGCCGGCCAGGTTTCTGAAGACTTTGGACACCAAGGAGCCAGGGACCTTGCTGCGATTTTGCTTCTGCTCTAGTGACTAGTGCCTTGCTCTAAGGCTCAGGCCCATCATCAATTCCATGCACCACTACTACGCCACTGCAGGCCTTGCTCGCAGGTGGCTACATCCTTTGTTCACGCCTGCATTTGTGCTTGAGCAGGGGAGACGGTGACGAGCCGTGAGGCTTTTCTGTAGCTGCCCCAAGCTGCTGTTGGTGATCAGAAGTTGAGGCGAATCGCTTCGACGCTTAGGAACAAGCAGCAAAGCAGGTTCGAGCAGTTCAAGAGCTGTCCGCTTCACAGACATCTGTAATGTTGCGGCCTCTCGAAGCATTCCTGCCACTGTTAAGAGAGGTACGCACCATTACAAACTCCTGACGCGACAGCCTGGAGGAACCTGAGTGCAAGCAAAAGAGAAGCAGCTTCAGAAAGCAACTGTGGCCTGCTGGAAGCTGCGAAGTAGATTCTGTGATCGAGGAACGAAGATTGTGCAAAACCAGATGGAGTTGCAAGAAGATCAAGAAGCAAGCTTTGTCATAACAGAACAGAAGCCAAGTCACGCCTGCTCGCTTCGTCTCACAGCTTCGCGAGCCGCATGTCGGCCGTTCCGAAGACGGTCCTTGCATAGAGGGAACGGCTGTCTTCGTGTAGTGACTGTAGGGTTTAGATGTTTAGGCATCGGTCTGGCGGTGTTCCACGGATTTCGCCGTGCCCTGCCCAAGGCAGCCTTAAGTGGCCCCTGCGCCATCTCAAAGGGATGTGCGTCTTGAGGTCTCGGTAGACAGCATGCCAGGACCGCAGCTTGAGAGGGGCCAGAGTGTGGAACAAGAGTTGCGATGTTTTCGGGCTTTGAGATTCTCCTCCACCCTCGTCTGTCCCGTCCTGGAAACGGAGCAGCCCCGTTACAGTCTCTTTTCTTCAGAGTCTCTAAGGGCAAGGGCAACGCAGAGCTTCGCAAGTGGTCGTTTGTGTCAGGTTGTTGCGGAGTCCGCGCCGGGCCTTCAGTGACCTTTCGGCTCGCAGCCCGAGCCCGGAGACAGAAGACAGGAGCTTCGGAGCTTCTTCGGAGCTCCGAAGGCCCGAAAGCCGCCTTCGAGCCATGACGACGGCGCACCGGCCGACATGGCCCGGAGCCGAGATGAGCCGAGATGAGCCGAGAGCGTAAGACCTGGGCGGTCGCCGGAGCGGAGGAGGCAGCTTCAGGTCGAAGGCAAGGGCAAAGCCAAGGCCCACAGTTTGGGCAAAGGCACTGAAAAAGTTCCACAGATAAGAGATCGACGGGAGCGAAGAGCAAACAGAGCGAAGAGAGCGCAGAGATTCAATAGCAAAGAACTTCGCTGGCTGTGGCTGAAGAGCGAAGATGGGTGTATGTGCCGTGTGCGATACCATCTCAGGTTTCTGCTTTGCGTAAAATCTCAAGTCTCGCGTCTGCTTCACGCCAGGAATGCGGCGATTGCCAGCAACAGCAACCCAGGTCCAAATCTTGAGGGAAGCTTTTGGACGGTATGCAGTGTTTCGTGTTGCGGTTTGTGACCCAGGTGGCAACATGATGGTTGCGCAGACAACGAAAGTCTTCCACCTCAGACGCATTAGTACAGATGGCATCACGAAGCCTCTCGTCGTTTTCGGGCAACACTCGCATGACACACCCCTTCATCGGCCAAGATCAACAACAGAGATGCGGCGACCTTCAAGAAGATGAAATTCCGGCAGGCAGTGTGGCAAATGCGTCACTTCAGCACATTTCCATTTTCGCGCTGAGACATTGTGCTTCGGCTGGACATGGAGGGATGTTGCTCCCAGCAATTCGTCATGAGGCTGGCCAGGGTCTTCTCGAAGATCGTGGTTCCAGGGCAGATCTCACAGAGGACAGAACCCGCAAACTCGAACTGGCCGTGCATTGCAGATCATCATGATCAGCTTCGTATTTTGCATCGACCTGTACTCGTACTGCTGTTTCCATGTGGCCAGGACCTGGAGAGAAGAGAGAAGGCAGCCAAGGATGAGCGAGAAGGGAGAATCAAGGAGCGCGTCTCTTCCACCAGCACGCTTGTGCGAGAGCGTCTCCCTGCAGGCTCAGTCGCGCAGTTCAATGCTATCAATATGTGCAACTTCAGGAGAGGAAACGGCCATCCCTAGAGGACAATCCCTTCCCTGAGGCCCGACGGTTCCGGGCTAACTTTTGCGGGCCGATTGCTGGCCAGGAATCATTTTCCAGGGTGGGCTTGCCATCAGGACGCTGACGAGGAACTCCCTAGTGAGGACGAGAAGGACAGAGATCAATCTCTCCGTGCCAGCTCGCAACTCGCTGTTTCGGCATCCCGACAGGAAAAAGAGGCAGAGAACGAAGGCCTGATCCTGAGGCGCCCTAACTGTGCCTGGATGTGGCTTGCGTACCTGTCAAGATGACGATGATGACGACGACGATGATGATGCAGAGGCATCCGGCGGGAAATCAGCTGTTTGTTCCGATTGAAGTCGTGAAGGGGGGTGTCGGTGTCTAGCTCCCATGCATTCAGAGATTCAGAGACAGGCAGACACTCAGACGCTCAGGACACACCAATGCTTTAGGGTTTAGTTTTTGGTTGATTCAGGGATGCTTTTTTGTTGGATTTGAGGTTCAGGACCTTAGGCCGTTAGGGCATCGGGGTTTCGAGTTTGCAGTACGAGTGCCATCGCACAAGGCATGTGTCGTGGCTTGTGCTGACGTGCTGTGCTCTGCGGCGCTTGGATATGATGTGTTGCTTCTGAACGGATGGAGGTTGCCATCCTCCAGCCTTTCAGATTGGGGTAAGCACCAATTTTCCAACAGCACCAGATTTTCTTGCTTTCTGGCTGTCGCGGCCTCCCAACTGCGGGCCAACGGCAAACTGCAGATTTCAATATCACAGCTTCGGGTCCTGGTGTCGCAGCCTTCAAGCGTTAAACCGCAGAAAAGAATCCGCAAAGCCGCAACGTGGCCGATTTTGGAAAGAACGCTCCAGCCGGATTTTTTTTGCAGAGACCCAGACTTTTTGGAAAGGTCTTTTCCAGGATCTCTGTATTTTCTGGCTGCGTACCCTTCCACACCATGCCTTCGCCAGGAGCCATGCATGTTTGCATTTGTGGGGCCGGGGTAACCTGGTTTGGCATGTTGAAATCTGGGTTCGCAGCAATGACCTCCTTGATCAGATGCTGTCGCGCTGCAAAGATCTTCGGATTCAGGAACTGATGAGGGAGTTGGCCAAGATCAAGAAGGAGAGGGAGGAAGAGGAGGAGGCCAAGAAGGTGCGGCTGAGCGCTCGCAGAGGCCTTCAGTGAGCTGAAGTGGTGAAGCCGTCCTTGTGAGGCACTTCAAGCCAAGCAGGACAAGCGGGCGCAGAGAGCTTGGGCCTCAATGACGGAATTGGAGAGATCGGGAGAAGCAGATTCGAAAAGATTTCAGGATGAGGTCATGAAGGGGAACCCTCTTCTTGCAGAAGGCTCCGACGTATCGCTGAAGAGGCACTTCATAGGGCATACAGGTAGGTTAGGGGCGGCTAGGGCACGGCGATTTGAGCCTGAACAAGGCGCTGGGATGACGACACCGTCTTCAAGAACCAGGCGGGGCCAGGGCTTCGTTCCCCAAGCGCTCCGAGCTTGGGCCATCCGGGGCCGGGGCGCTTCAGGCGCGCACCGCGCCGAAAGTCAAGCAACGATACATCAACGACGCCGTGCAACTCTCAGCTAGCTCGGCGATGCTCGGCCCCCTGCATAATCCCCAGTCTCTGCTCAGTGTTCTCACAGGTCCGCAGTGACTTCCACAAAAAGTTCTTGAGCACGGCGCCCTATACCTTTTGCGATCCATGTCCCGTGACCCCAACCGCAGCTGAGGCAAGTACGTTTGGGTGGATGGTGTGGCACACTGAGATTCAATCCGTGTCCACTTCTGGCATCCCCGAAAAAGATTTACACAAGACTACCAAGCAGATCAAGCACAGATCAAGCAGCTCAAGAGCTCAGCTCTCCCAACCTGGCGCAGAGCCCCTTAAATTGCAATCTCAGCTCCCTCTGCCGAAGAGCGCAGAGCCGACGAGCCGCCGAGCCGACCGCGCGGTCGTGCACTCGACTACAGAAAGAAGCGCGCTGGCTGTGGGGGGGGCCCGGGGGCCCTTGTCATGTCTGAGCGGCATGGAGTGGAGGACAGGTGCTACTTGTACTTTCCGTCTTTTCTTCTTTCCTTTCCGCAGACAGCTTTCCCGCCGAAGGGTGCAGGGGGAGGCTGGAGGGCCCCCAGTGCGGCCGCACGCTCAGGTTGCTACGTTATCCCACCCCTGCTGCCCACTGCCCATCGCTGCAAGTTGAGTTTTCACATGCTCTGGTACTCTGGTGCTTGTGGACCAGAGGCCATGTCGCAACGACTCGTGTTCGCCTATGGCGACAAGAGAGCCCAGCACACAGCCTCACAGCATAGCCGGCACAGCCACATTTTTGTGTTGAAGGCTTCTACACATTTGGGTCTTCCCGTGACATGACTGCGACTGTATTGCAGGTCATGGCACGGGGATCCGGTGCGGATGCCGCTGTGCTCAGTTCAAGCTGGCTCAGAAGATCGGAAGCTCGCAAGTCGCTGCGCGTTTACTTGATGTGAGCAGGCTTTGTTGCACAAGTGACAACAGCAGCCTCCAGATGCTTCAGTGCCTTTCAATGTCTTCGGGATTAGGCCGTGCGATCGATCAAGAACCTAGAAGCTTTCTTCCAGGACAGTGTATGAAGAGCAGCCTCTTTGCTTCTTCTGTGCAGTTTCGCGCATGGGTGTCTGAACACCAGGACGCCGAAGAGAAGCTGGGATTGCCTGAAGGCTTGGTTTGAGAGAGCAACCAGAAATCTCGACATGTCGACTTCTTCAGCCCAAAAGTAAAATAAAGCTCTGGGGACTTGTGGAACCCCTGCTGAGCAAGTCGCAATCCTACCTGTCAGGGCTGCAGGAAGTTACGCGGCATAAAGCAAAGAGTCGGAGCTGTGCTGCTTGGTCTCGAGCTCTCTTCAAACACGGCCGGAGGCTCTCGGAGCTCCGTTTCAGCTTGGAGCAGAATCTCCGAGCAGTTTTCCAGCCTAGTGTAGTCTATCTAGGAAATTCCAGAGGCAGTGAAGTGAGAGAAGAGCAGAATGCTTTCAAGAGTTTTTCTTTTGGACAGGCACGTACGACTTCTACGATGTCTATGGCAAGATCACGACTCCTGCGGACCCCGAACGTGCTGGTGAGATTTCAGTTTGTAGCTGCACATCACGGAATCTCCGCCTCCCGAAGGCTCCAAACAAGCTAGCATGTTTCCAGGTTGAATTCATGTTGGCCTTTTGGGTCCTTGCAGGACCTGCAGCGAGCGCTTTCCACAGCAGGGTCCGGAGAATGCACCATTGAGGCCTCGTGACGCCTTTTGGCGAAGCTATGCTGAACCACAAGTCTGGAAAAGCTACAAGCGCAGACTGCAGTGCAGGTTCGGGAACACTTGCACTTCATACGAATCCGTGCGCTGGAGGACAGGGCAGTATGGTAGAGTCGAGAAGATGACAGCTGATGCAGTGGCATCAACAAGGACGTGATTCGGGTCTTGTGCTCTCATAAGGACGACAACAGCCGCCTGACTGCGCGACTCGACGCGCTTGAGGCACAGACTGTTAGGTGTGTCCCGCTTAGAAGAAGTTTGACGGGTCGTGCTACCACTCTTGAAGCGATACTTCGAGCCGGAGCGCACAAGCGCAAAGCTCATGGCAAAGGGAGAGCTCCTACATCGCACAAGTGGCACCAGTAGCCGCTCGAGGACGAGCGAGAGAGCACGGATAAGCTTCTTACGTCGGACTCGACAGAGACAGCCCAAGAGTGTTATCACAGCCTGCCAGCGGCCAGCATCAGACCAGGCATGTCGTGTTTGTTGCTGGTGCACTGGCATCCTGTCTGCCTGCGCCTTCCACTCTTGGATCAGTTTGGTCAGAGTGTGGGCTGTTTCAGGGTTCCCCGAACCCTACAAGGAGCCAACGCGCTTGGTTTTTTGTGGGGATCAACAACACTCGCGAAATCAATCACTTCGAGCTGCTTCGAAGACATGCCAAGCAACAGTGGCAGAAGCTCGGGGTATTTGTTCTGATTTTGCATTCTGCAAGCACTTGATCCCTAAGCCGCAAAGGTTCGGTGATGTCGCTTAGGTTTCCAAACCGTCCGATGCCAAAACTACATTGCCCCAGAGTACACAACACTTAGACTTGTGTTGCTGGTCGCGGAGCATAGAGGACCGTGAGACACCCGCACCAGGTGGCGCTGAGAGAATCCGAAGAACGGAGCAGCATGAAGCTGCAGGCGGAGCCGATGGTCCGTCAGCGTGCAGCGTTGCAGAAAGCTTTGGCTGAAGAGGTTGCATCAGAAGAGCTTGTCAAGATGATCAAGAAGGTGCAACACTCAGAACGACAGCATACGAGTGGTTCGCAGATCGCAGGGAGGAGCCAAAGCATGACACAAGACGAGGGAACCAGAGCGCACGTATTGCTGCAATCGTTGTCTGGCTCAAGCTATTTTGGACACCGAGCTTGGGCACGTCAACAGGCCAGATTCCGACTAGTGTACAGTTTTTGGAAGCTGCGGTGCGGGGGGGCTGATCGTCGTGTGTCAGGCCGGGTTTTCGCAATGCGATGAGACGTCGGTGGCAACTTTCGAGGCCGTTTCCAGACAGCAGCTTGGGAAAACAGGTGGCGCAGCTGAGCAGAGAATGCAGGTGGCAAGTACTATTGGCCGGCAGCGCAGCTTGGCTGGACGGCACGACTTTGTCCAGTGTAGAGCTGTGTACGAGTGCATCTGCTCAGGCGCTGGCTCTGGTTGCTGCACGGAGTGGCCTAGCTGCGGCGCCACCTCTTCAGGTCCGGTTCAAAAATCGCATTTGCTTTCTTTGGGGGGTTTGGCCGCATGACGTGCAGGAGCTGCTGAAGCCTCCAGCTCCGAAGAACGAGCTGCCGCTCGGCAGATCACGTCTTTGGGCCTTTGGCGTCTGCAGACAAGAGGAGCTTGGAGCTAGAGCTGTTTCTGTGCAGACGGCGTTCTGAGGGCGCCGGTCTATCCGGGCAGCGTCACTGTTCCAAAGGAGGCTGGAAATGGAACTGCTCCGGGTGTGCTGTGGAACGAGTGCTGCCGTGATTCCAGTCAGGCTCCGATTTCCCGAGTGGTGTGTGCCTCACTTTAGCTCCATTTGCGACATTCGTGACTTCTGCAGAGGAACAACATGTCTGCTCACTCAGGTCGAACCGTTCGGTCCTCGGATGTCAGACATTCATGTCGCCGCTGCAGTGCCATGACTCGGCAAGCCTCGGCATAGTCAGATGGCTTCTGCAGCTCAGGTACAACGCCAGAGACAGGGTGACGAAACACCAGCGTGTATGGTACCTGCCTCTCATGTAGCCGTAGCCTTTGCGACGACAGCCGGGGTTGGTCGACACAAAAGGTGGGGCCCTGGCTATGGCAAGCATCCTTATCTAGCAGGGGCCCAAACCGCATGGCCCGGCCAAACCGCACAGACTTTTGTTTTGTGTCTAGGTGAAGAAGTGGTCCACTGTAGAGAAGCTCATGAAGCGTCGACCTCCTATGGCCATCCCTGGAAAGGCCACGCGGCCAGGCTGTCGGAATGGAATGGGACTAGGCCTAGCCGCCTATACGTAGCCTCTTCAGGTCGCTCGGCCCACTAAAAGGGAGCAGCTTCTGCGACGTCAGCTGATCAATGGCACGATGCCAAGCGAAGCCGACTTCAATCGAATCATCCAGGCGGGCTTCTTCCTTCTTCTCGATCTGGTCACGGGAACGCTTACATTGCCAGAGATCTGTCCTGGCAGGTCTTCGCACAGCGAGCACGCCAGGAGGTTCGGTACCCTCTGTTGATCCAGCGCCACCACTTTGCCAAGCGGGCAAAGTCTCTCGGCTACCATTGGTGGTCTGTCTGCCGTTCGTGTGCTTGTGCGCATGCCCAGGGGATGGGCCTGGGAAATGCTGCTGAATGACATGCAGCCCAGCAGACAGACCTACAAGGCAACACGCTTGTCTTGCCCAAAACCGTCCGCGAACACTGCCCTGGCCCTGCAGTTGATGATGCTCGCATTTGGAGCAACGGGCCATCATGCAGCTGCACGATGGTGGATTGACTGGAGAAAGACGGATTCCGAGAGCGACGAGGAGCGCCAGAGAATGCCTAAGAGACATACGCACCGGTGGCCTGGGCCAGGTGGACAGTCGTTGGGAGACAAATTCTTTGATCTCCGCCTACGCGAAGGTCGGCAGGCCACTAGAGGCCTGCAGCCGTCAGCAAGCAGCCCGCAGCTCGCAGCCTTCCTTTCGCGTGGCCTGGGCTTTGGGGCTTTTGGGCTTTTGGGCTGCTGGCAGGCCGCCCGGCACCTGCGCGAGATGAGCCGGAGCGGCCTTCGGCCGGATGCACGCAGTTTTGCAGGCTCGGACGTCGGATTCGGTACTAGTAGGCATCTGCTTCTCTCCTCCGCATCTGGGCCAGGTGTTATTGAAGCATGGGAGCACATCGGGAATAGGCCCCGCAAGCTGGGTCCCAGCCTGAAGCCAACAAAAATCGGCCATTCGCCCGAGGTACCAGATGTTGCGGTGGCTGAAGTTGTATCTCAGGGCAGAAGCCAGAGGTATTCTGGGAGAGCTCCTAGATCCTCGCGATGCAGGGCATCTCGGCACATGAGTGGTTTGTCGCTTTGACCTTCATCATGCACTGCTTCGAGCTGTTTGGAAGGCTTCCCTACTATGCCCTGGCGGAGTCTTACGTGAAGGCCAGAAGCCTCACCCAGCACAGTGGCCTGCACCGCAGAATGTACAATTGGGCTGAAGGTGGCAGATGCCGTCCGTACAATGAGCCTCTTGAAGGCCGTGAAGGATCGCGGCATACCGCTTAGCATCCAGGCGCCGCCGCCGCTTCGGAACTTCACCTCCCAACTCGAGCCACCGAAGGCTTACCGCCTTCGACTAGACGTGCTGCTGCGCGTGCGCGGCCAGCGTCGAGCGGTGGACCAGATCGAGCGGGCTCTTGCGGCTGGGCAGAATGTCGAGATGGACCAGAATCAATGACAGCAGGCTTCCACGCTTCCTGCAGGTTGAGTTCATCAGCAACCGCCCCTCGAAGGGGCCGATCTTCACGAAGGAGCTGCTTCAAAGATGTCGTGGCTTCGACTGAGAGTGTTACTGCTAAGGCTAGGTGCGGCTAGGTCTCAAGGCCTATCATAAGGCAGACAAGCAGCCCCGGCAACCTGTCTGCAAAACTGACGCGTTCCTCCACTAAGGCGACGTTCTTGGCGAAGAGCATGTCGAGGCGGTGTTTAGTGAACTTGGTCGGCTGCCCAGACAGCCGTGGCGTGAAGCTGGCAGAGCGTGGCACAGCCTGGCACAGCCTGGCACATTGGTCACACAGGTGCAGGAGATGATCTCGTGCAGCAGGAGGGACCCTGTCTCACTCGAGCCCCCGATGAGCTGGGGCACATGGAGACTGATGAAGTTACCAGTGCAGCCATGGATATGACGGGAGCTGCAGGACAATCTTCAAGCAGATGCCTATGAAAAATGGCAAACCGCAGCGGAGCTGCAGATGTCCACGGCCAAAATGGTTGTTTTCAAAAGATTTCGCAGCTCAGGCACAGCTGAACGTGGCGATAAGCCGGGCCGTCAAACACAAGCGAATTGTTGCTGGCACTTCGCTTCTTCTGGACAAGGAGGCTGCCGATGCTTGCATTTAGTGCTGCTTTGCAGACTGAGCGCCAAGACTCCGAAGGAAGATGATGATGCCTTTACGGAAAAGCAGGACGCTCGTGAACCCTACAAGGCTCACATGGCTGGTTGATGTCCACGTGTTCAGAATCTGCCATGTCAAAGTGCTTGTTGGACATAGTGTTGATTTTGGCAGGTGGGGGACATTGACCAGGGCTTCCGAGTCCTGAAGCGCGAAGCAAGCGAGAAGGGCTTGCCGGATTGGATGTCGTTGAAGAAGCTTCTTGACTGGTTCAAAGAGTGTTTCTGTGGTGCCTGCTGGCCTATACATGCCTCCATCGTTGCGCGCGGCCAGCGGAAACACAACGCTGAGGCCCATTCGATACGGCACAGCCAGGTGAGAGCGACTCAGCACTCCTGAGTGCTTAGATGCAGCCCGGGCAAAGCTCTTTCAAGTAGTCTCCCAAGAACGTTGCAGTCTGCTCGTGGTCCCCGGCACACGGAGCAGCCGTAAATGCCACCTCATGTCCTTCCCGCTTCGTGCTGGAACACGAAATGCCCATGGAAGCGGGTTTGGGCATGAGTTATGTCACGTCTCTACCCAGTTCACCCCAGGCCTTCGTGCCTTGGGAGTCGTAGCCGCTTGTTGATGTGAGGCGTCTAGGTTCCAAGTATTCAGACCCCCGCAGCCCAAGTCTAACTTTATTCTGGTTTCTCGTGCAAACACATCCGACCCCGCATGTGCGCATGCTTAGCAGCACTTTGGGCGCAGGAGGCAAAAAACTCCTTGATTTGTCGTCCTCATTCAGGGTGAACCTATGCAAGAGCACCAACACCAGCTTGTTTCATAAGTTATCCGACTACTTTATGCTGCGTATACGTATGGGCCGATTCAGCAGGCCATCCTTCGTATCGACACAAGTGTAGGCCGCGCTTGAATCCTCAAGTCCTTGCGGCAGTGCGGCGAATCGGCTCCCATCGAGCATTTACTTAGGTCTTGCAGGATGTAGCACGTACAGGCATGCGCCATTCAACATTCTGTACCTGCTTGATGCCCGCAGTGCGAGACGACCATCTACGACGAAGTCGGTCCCGCGCTGGAGGCCGGTCATTTAAAGTCAAGCATTTCTTCAACTCTTCGACTATCCTTGTATCCCCCCACAAGTGCAGAACGTGAGGCCGTCATGAACAAGCAGCACGACAACGAGCGCCTGGGGTGCAGTGAGCAAGCATGATACGCGGAGGTGCTTTCTTCATCTGTATAGAGTCTTTTGCCTGTTACTTGCTTTTTTTGTGTTGTTTCTTGGTTTTCTACGCCTGTGGAAATCGCAGTTAAATCCATGCATCAGACCAGTGTTCCTGTGAGCATGCAGTCAGTGATTCCTGTTAATGTGTATCCGCGACATTACGGACCGAAGGTCCCCCTAAGTCACGACGGAGCCTCATGAAAGATGGAAAACGTGCGCTGATCGAGTGTGGCCGCCTGTGAGTCCCGAACTTACAGGTGGTAGCGGAGCGCTGGAACTGCTGGGCTTGAGCTCGGCGGTGGAAGCGCTTGACGATCTCTGCTGTCGACCAGGAGATGAGTGCGAGTCGGGACGAGGAAAGGCCAAGGCTGGAGAGGTTCGATGGGTCGGATCCAGCCAGCTACAAAAGATGGCGCCGCAAGGCAGAACTAATGCTCATGGCACTACCAACGACGATGGCGAAAGAAAAGTGGGGCCCGAAGCTTTGCGAGTACATCAGTGGCGAGGCTGAAGACGCGATTGAGGGCATTGCCGTGAATAAGCTGGTGGCCGAGGAGGGCTACAAGCTCATCTTTGAGGCATTGGACTCTCGTTACGCGGACTTGGAGCAGGACTCGTTGCAGAAGTACCTCAAGGAGTATTTCTTTGGGTCGCAGATCAAGGCCGGGGAGACCTACCGGAACCTCACGATACGGGTTGACACGGCCTACCGTAATCTGCAGGAGGTGAATGTAAAGCTTCCGGAAGAAGTTCGAGGCTGGTTCTTGCTTCGGAAATTGGCGTTGGACAAGAATGCTGAGGCGATGATCCTGACGGCTACCCAGGGCAGCTTGAAGTATGACGCAATCAATAAGGCGGTCAAGTCTGTGTTTCCCCAGGGAAAATGCTCCACTGTGGCGAACCGCATGAAGGATGTGTACGCTGCAGAGGCTGAGACTGCCGAGAACGAGTTGCCGGAGGAGGGCGAGGACGAGAATGACGTCTTCCAGGTGGTTGCCGATCAGTTCCAGAACCAGGAAAGCTATGACGACGAGGAGGTGCTTGACGTGCTGGAGACTTACCAAGACATTCGAAGGCGACTTCAACAGAAGAAGATGGGAAGGGGTTACAAGGCACAACCAACCTCTTGGAGTCTGAGCGGGACGGTTAAGGGACGTTTGGAGCAGCTGAAGCAGAAGACCAAATGCCACATATGCAAGATGCCGGGACACTGGAAGCGGGAATGTCCCAAGCGCCGTGATGCCAATGCGGCGGGGACTACAGCAAAGCATGCCGGGACCAAGGAGGCCATGATCGCAGATGCCGGCTTCCAAGATGGTGACGGGCCGGAGTGGTTCATTCCGGTGGAGCAGATCGAGGAGCTGGATGTGTTCTTGGTTGAGGGTGCCGGGAGCGAGATTGATATCGTCGTGGCAGGTCCGGGTGAAACGGACTGTGAGCAAGTAGATGCCGTGCTGGGGGGCCTTGAAAATGGGCTACTTTCTCCAGGAGTTTTTGAGGAGGCTTCGGACGCCGCGCGCTCGAGTGATGCATACATGGCTGTGTGCGACGAATCTCGGGAGTCATATGCTGCGTTGTCCACTCATGCTGTACCTGACACTGCTTGCCGTAGGACGCTTATAGGTGAGAAGGTTCTGCGAGGGCTTGAGCATGAGCTTCTTAAGAGGGGGCTCCGTGTCAGGTATGTGAATGAGCGGCACGAGTTTAAATTTGGAAATGCAGGGAAACTGCAGACGCAGCAGAGTGTAGTGATACCGGCTTGCATTGGGGGCAAGCTGATAGCCTTGAAGGCGGCGGTGCTTCCCGAAGCAGGGGCTGATACACCACTTCTTCTTTCCAAAGAGTGTTTGAGGGGTTTGAAGGCGACTCTTGATATGGATAGAGATGTGATGTATGTGGGGAAGCTTGGGGTCAGTATTAGTATGAAAGAGACTGAGAGGGGTCACTATGCAATACCCATTTTGGGCTGCAGAGCGGGTGCCAAAGCCACCAGAGAGAAGCCACAGGTCAATGAAGTGCACGAGTCCGTGTGTGCAGCCACCACGGGTACAAGTGCCAAAAGCAGTGACTGTGACCTCTCTTCCCAGCCTTCTCCAGGCGATGTCGATGGGACCCATGGAGACGGAAGCGGAGATCGTGAACAACACGGCCGGCGTTCCATGGCGAACGGACATCAAGTCCACACCGTTGATGGAGGACCTGTTGGCTGCACTGACGCCAGAGCTGGTGTCTCCCGAGCCGACCAGCATGCCGGTGAAGCTGTTGGACAGTCGAGAAGATCAAGAAGGCGACGAGCCAAACGTGCCAATCAACGGCAGCGAGATTCTGGAGATCGGGAAGTATGCCAAGGCCGGGATTGTGAAGACCTTCGCGGAGATTTACGTGGAGGACAAGGCGTACATGCAGTGGATCCGGAAGTTTGTGACAACGTCAAAGCCGAATGCCAAAGGACAGTCAAGCTCGACACCGATGATGCGACTGAGGTTGTACATTGCGTGCCGGGACCAGCTGAAGGAGAGCCGCGTGAAGATCGACAAGCAGCTCGAGGTTCCCAACGTGAACTTCGAGCCACCCTTCATCGACCCGAAGAAGATGGTGCAAGGACCGTTGAAGCTCACAGCCAAGGCAAAGAACACCGCAGCCAAGGAGATCAAGACGGTGAACAAGCAAGCCGCCGCTTCGAGCAGTGGTTACGGGAGCTGGGAGAAGGTGGATGCACCATCAACGCGCAGCAACCCCAACCTGCAGGCGATGAAGGAGAAGATCATGAACCAGATGCATGCATTGCAGGCGCAGCTGGAGAACTTAGAGGACCTGGAGGAGCTAGAGCGCGACGACCTCTAGATGAGTCATGTCCGGATATGAGCCGGAGGGTGCCGGACCAGGCCGTGTGTGGAGCCATGTCCAAATGTGAGAAGCAGCTGTGCCGAGCGGGTTTGAAGATGTTGCGTGATGTTCCGGGCAAGAGCTTAGGTCAGGTCTCTTGTGGGTCTGGGTCTAGGCTTGACGTGTTGGAGTTGTTTGCGGGCACTGTTGAGCAAAACGCAGCAGCTGTAGGTCTCACTGCCGGGCATGTCCTGAAGTTTTCTCGAAAGTTTGAGCGACATCAGCGATATTTTGGTGAGCAAATGAAGACACACGTGCTGAGCCAAGTGGAGAGTTTGCAACCGCGGATGCTGTCAGTTAGCATGCCACCTGAGCTTCGAAGCATGTTTGTAGGCCAGTGTGATAGGGATGCCGGGTATTGCGCTAGCTACAACAGATTCGTGAATGCACTAGGACTGTGCCAGGAAAGCAGTGGGCGGTTGTTTGCGATTGAAGTAGGACCTAGTGTGGAGCCACATCAGAGTCTTGCGAAGGGTGTAGGAGTGTTTTGTGTCAGTTTGCGCCACATAGGAACGAGCCTGTTGACCAATTGTCGTGAGCTTCATGAGAGACTGAGTAAGTGCAAGCAACTGAGCGAAGGGGAAGACATTGCGTGCAACATGAGGGCAGTGGCCAACCTGTGTGTCGCAAGCGTGCTTGATTGGAAGCGTGGAAAGGAGTTGGTGATCACGTCGACTTGTGTGCATGCAGTTGAAGATTTGAGACAAGGCGAGGGGATGACAGACCAGAAGATTATGGTGCTTCTGAGGAAGTGCCATGAGAATCTTGTTCATCCTTCGCCAGCTCGGTTGAACTTGCTGTTGAAGTCGGCGCATGCCAGTGAGCGTGTGTTGCGGTTGGCTCGTGGGTTGACTTGTGAAACGTGCAATGCCTTGTCGCGACCACGGAGCCATCATGTCACTAAGGTCAGGCGGGCCACAGAGTTCAACCAGCAGGTGTGCCTGGATACTTTTGAGACTGAGGTGAGAGGAAGCAAGCTTCATTTTCTCAACATATGCGATGAGGGCACCACTTATCAACTCTGTATTCCGCTGTGGAAAGGCAAGCAAGCGAGACATGTTAGGAATGCCTATCGGAAGTTCTGGAAGCGCTGGGCCGGTGCACCTGTGCGTGCATTCACAGACGGAGGACCTGAGTTCGAGGCGGAGTTCGAGCATGGACTAGAGTTGGATGGTACGTTCGGGGATAAGGCAGCAGCGTATGCACCGTGGCAGAATGGGCTTACGGAGCGCAAGGGAGGAGTTTGGAAAGTTGCTTTTCAGAAGGCGTTGCTTGATACGAATCCCCGTTCCAAACAGGAAGTTCAGGAGCTGGTGGACAATGTGAATGTGGCTGTGAACACCATGACCAGGAAGGACGGATATTCACCATGTCAACATGTGTTTGGTCGTGAGCTGCGGGTGCCGGGGATGATTTCCACTGAGTATGATCCTGTGATAAATTCGGGATTGGTGCAAGGGGAATCAGTGTTTGAAAAAAGGATGTCCTTTCGGCATGCAGCGAGGAGAGCGTTTCTGGAAGCTGATAGTGACAGTCGAATCAGGAAAGCGCTAGAGCATCGGACCAGGCCGGAGCGTGGACCGTTCCCTCCAGGTGCCATGGTGTACTTTTGGCGTCGCCACCGATTTGAAAATCGGTGCCATTGGCATGGACCTGCAGTTGTGATTGGTAGTCAACGTTCCAAGTTGTGGATAGCTCAGGGGACTAAGGTGTACCGATGTTGTCCTGAACAAGTCAGGAGATTGACCCCAGAGCAGGAGGCAACAATCAAGCTGCTACCAGCGGACGTTGTGCATGTGAGGCATGAAGTGAGTGCTCGCGGTGCGGGAACCTATCACGATATAAGTGATCAAGAGAAGCCTCCCGAAGAGGCTGAAGATGATCAGGCTGGCGGTGAGTTACCACCAGTAGCCGATGGTGAGGCGAGAAGGTCGGCACGTGAGCGTGGCAGTGAGCTTGAAGTTGATCTTGAAGTTGAGCCGGATCCGGGTGTGTTGGACGTTGAGCATGGTCAAGGGTCTGCAAGCAGTGAGCCGCAAGTTGTGGCTGGTGGTGCAGAACCTGTCGATGCGTCTCAAGGGTCAGCGATGATGAGAGCGGATGAGCCGGACCGAGAAGCCGGTGATGAGTCACCGTCTAAACGATTGAGGACCAGTGAGTTGACCCAAGCCTTGAGACGAAGTGCTGATGGGCTTGACGGGATTCCTGGAAGTGGGCTTAGGGATCAAGTTGCGCGTGCTGAAAGTGTGCCGGTGCCGATAGAAAGCGATGATGAGCTTGAAGTGTTGGTGCGTCAGCGTGAGTGTTTCATGGTTGAGCGAACCAAGGGTCGCAAGGAGGTGGCAATGAGCAGCATTCCAACGGAGCGTCAGCCTGGCCTTCGCAAGGCCAAGGAGAAGGAATGGAAGAAGCTCTTAGAAAGCCAAGCGATCATTGTGCACAAAGGGCAGGCGGCGAGGGAACTTCGTAAGAAATATGCCGTTTGTGATGAGACGACCGGTCGGCGTGCAAAGTTCATGAAGTCGCGCTTTGTCATTACTGAGTCGGACAGTGGTCAGGGCGACGAGTATCAAGGGCTTAAGGCCAGGTGGTGCATAAGGGGATATTTGGATCCTGCTCTGCTGCACCTAGATACAACGGCGCCAACACTGTCGGCTGAGGGTTTTGCCATAACGACACAGTTGATTGCAAGCAAGCGTTGGAAGTTGCAGATTGCAGATGTTGAGGGCGCCTTTCTACGTGGCGACAAGCTTGATCCTCAACGAGGCCGCTTGTTTGTAGAGCCTCCCCCGGGAGGCATTCCAGGATGCGCGGAAGGGGAGGACTGTCTCATTGAGGCAGTGAAAACAGTCTACGGCTTAGCAGATGCTCCAAAGGCATGGTGGAAGAGCTTCACAGCAGCACTTGTCAAGCTCGGCATGCGACCCTCAAAGTTTGATCCATGCGTGTTTTGGTACTTTCATGAAGGGGCCATTGAGGGAACGATTTCGTTGCATGTTGATGACATGATTCTAGGAGGAGGGTCTGTGTTTCAGAAGAGGGTTGTTGATGAGTTGAAGAGGATTTACCCTTTTAAGCATTGGAAAGTAGGAGGCGGAGAGTTTCTAGGTAAGAAGCTGAAGCAGGAAGCTGACGGTGAGATCACTGTGTGCCAGATGGAGTATGCGAGTCAGTTGCAAGGGATCCGGATCAGCACGGAGAGACGGAAAGAGAGAGAAGCGGAAGTGACCGAAGCTGAGCAACAGCAAATGCGGGCCGTCCTCGGAGCTGTCAACTGGCTTGTAGGTGGAAGCCGCCCAGACTTAGCTGCATGGTGCTCCTTGCTTCAGCAAAAGGTTTGCAAAGCACGAGTGGAGCAGCTGATCGAGACCAACAAGCTGGTGAGCTTGGCCAGGGAGAATGCATGCGTCCAGGTACGTGTGCTGCCGATTCCTGTACCGGAGGTTCAGTTTGTGGTGATGTCTGATGCTTCGTGGGCAAATGCCGATGAGAAGTGCAGTCAGGCTGGTTACTTGGTTGCGGCCGGAGACAGTATGCTGCAAAAGGGGCATTGGGGACGGTTCTCAGTGCTGCGATGGAAAAGTTACAAACAAGATCGGCAAGCCCATTCGACGCTTGGGGCTGAACTGTTGTCATTGTCTCGGGCTATCGCGGAGGCAAGACGGATGAGATCCTTGTGGTGCGAGGCAATTCATGAAGCATATAGTCTGGAGGATAACACCAAGTGGAGCAGAAGTATTCCCTTGACGGCGGTTGTGGACTGCAAACCAGTGTTCGATCACGCCACATCGTGTACAGTGTCCCTGAAGGATAAGAGGATGGCCATCGAGATGCTGCTGGTGAAGAATGATATCAAGGAGCATGGCATAGAGCTCAAATGGGTGGCCACCAAGCAGATGATTGTGGACTCCTTAACGAAAATAGGGGCCCCTGTCAGTCTCCTTCTTCAGGTTCTTAAAGAGGCGTGTTTTATCTTGAAAGAAGATGAAGTGGTGAATCAGTGGATTGACAAAGGAATCAAGTACAGAGGACTGCGAAATCGGTCTGATGCATGTTCTGTTTTGGGGGTGTGTGGAAATCGCAGTTAAATCCATGCATCAGACCAGTGTTCCTGTGAGCATGCAGTCAGTGATTCCTGTTAATGTGTATCCGCGACATTACGGACCGAAGGTCCCCCTAAGTCACGACGGAGCCTCATGAAAGATGGAAAACGTGCGCTGATCGAGTGTGGCCGCCTGTGAGTCCCGAACTTACACGCCAGGATTTTGTTTGACAGTTTTGCCTTCTGCTTGTGTGTTCTTGTTGCTTGCTGCTTGTCTTTGCTTTTGCTTTTCTGCTTTCGCTTTTTCTGCTTCTGTGCTTTTCTGCTGTTCTGCTTCGCTCTTCTGCTCCTCCGCTTTTCAGCTTTTCTGCTTATCTTTTTTCCACCCTCATCCTTGCTGGTGATCACTACTGCTACTGCTGCTACTGCTGCTACTACTACTACTACTACTACAGCATCAGCATCATTACCACCAACAGCACCCATATATATATATATATGTATATATATATATACACATATACATATACATATACATATACATATATACATATATACATATATACATATATACATATATACATATATACATATATACATATATATATATATTATGTAGATGTAGATATGGGATATAGATATAGATAGTTTTCCCCAACATGAGCTCTGCCTGGGAGGGTCTACCACCCCGCCCACCCCCATTGCTGTGCCTACAGCTGGCTATGGCTATGCCGAATTGGGAAGCATGACAAGAACGGCGCCGGGATGTACCATCATTCCCCCCGTTTCAGGGAGCATACAGCACTGAAGCCAAAACGGCAAGCTTTTCAACGGTGTCTGCTTGCCTTATGAACACGGCCCCAGCTTGGGACTGTGGGAATAACTCGGTTTTAAAAGGAGAATTGTACCTCGCCATGGTTGGAGCTGACCTGGGAAACAAATTCAAATTCACAGAAGCAGAAAAATCCCAAACTAATTCTCGCACCGGGATGTGAGGTCGGTGTAGGCGAAGGGAGCATTGCTGGGACCTCGGCGAGGGACTGGCTTGGTTCGTACCCAGGAAAGACATTCGTTCGGTGGCGGAAAAGTTGGCACAGTTCGATCTCCAGGAGACTCCGAGATCACAGTGTGATGCCGTGAGCCGCCATTTCGTCTCGATGATTCTTCAGGAGCTGCGTGAGCTTTCAGCCAATGCTCTGCAGATGCGGGACGAGGTCCCAGCATTTGAGTGACCCCGGACCACGGTCTCCATGACCAAAACCGGGTCTGGGTCAGTCTGGGTCTGCAGGTCATGAACTGTATCAACCGGCTGAACGTCTTAGACAGCCAGTGGCTTCGAGACAAGGCGGTGTGATGTTTGAAAGCCAAAGCCTCTCTAAAGTCACGTTGTGCGAGTCGCAGGAGGAATTGCGGGAAATAGTGGAAAGGACAAACCAGGCCAGGGACCGTCCGAGGGCAGACAGACTGTTATCGGTGTAATACAGCTGTTGTTTGTTGCTCTTTGCTCCGCTGCACCGGGCCCACTCGCGTCACTGACACGATCTGGCTGTCCCATCGACATCAGCTTTAACGCTCCTGGCCTTCCAGTCCGGTGGTTGCTTTGCTTCGCCGCCCGGGCGCAAAAACAAGAACAGCCCACTTGGAGCAGCGCGAGTCTTTGAGTCAACGCGCTTCGCTCTCGAAGCCTTGGTGGCTTCCGAGACTGAGACGATCGTCGGCGCACGCACACGCATGCGCACGCATGCGCACTTTCGCAGTTCCAAGGGTCCAAGAACCTGGGCCTGGGCCACGAAGAAGATGCCAGCCTTGCTGGTGGCACGGCTGATATGCCCAAGCCGCGTGTGAGAGAGGTAGATATGCAAGACAGGGCCAGAGAGGCACCAGAACCCGCCAGTATCCATGCCATCACGCTAAGCAGCAGAGGCAGCTCAAGGATCGGGCCATGCAATCCCCAATTAAAGGGGATGAAAGCGCATTTTGAACCTGGATCTGCCTTCACTCTCAAGATCTCTCAAGGACCTCAAGGACCTGCAGAAGTGCCCTGAAGCAGCGAGCGCTGGGCCTAGGCCAACTAGGGGCAACCCAGACCAGACCTGTGCAGGTACATTATGGGCAAGATCGATGTCGGCATCGAGGCAGACGCCGACCTTCGGCGTGACCAGCAGGCAGCTCATGGCTCATGGCTCATGGTTCGTCGCGTTGTCGTCGGGAGCTGCCCAAGCTCGTCTCACGGCAGATCTTGAACGAGCGCATGCAGCTCATCGCGGATGACCTCCGCCTCTTGATGGTGAAGCCCTAAGCCGCCCTGAGCTGCCCAAGCGGCTCCCGGAAGACAAGAGGGCAGCAGTGGGACACCGAGGAAGAGCACCAGCGATTAGCAAACCGCACGCTTGGTGTGGTGGAGGCGACCTCCCTGAATTGTCAGACCCATGACAACTGTGCCGACTCGCTTGCAAGACCTTCCGGTCCCTGTCAGGAGAACGAGGAAATGCGGACGCTCCTCGGGCAGGTGTGACGAGCGGCAGCATGGAAACATGTCGTTGTGCTTTTGATGTGATCTTCGTCCAGGTGCGGGAAGACAACGAGCATCTGCGGCACGACAATTTCCAGGCCCTCTGAGAACGGTTCCCGTGTGGCGAAGCCTCGAGCGTCCAGCTGCTCAGGTCAGCACGCGGGTTCTCAGCTTAGAAGGCGCAGCGAGCGAAAAGTGGCAAGAGTGGCCGACTCAGGGGGCATTGCACTTGGCCTTTCGTGTTTCCATCACCGACTCCGGGAAGGTTTACACCAGCAGTTCTCTACTTCCGCAACTGGCATCGCACTGCCAAGGAAGGGCCCTAGTACAGAGTTTTCGGCATGTGGAGCTTTACGACTGTGGCACAGGGGGACGATGTGCAGCTTTCTGCAGATCTGTCCATTGCAGTAGGCCACACCTGAGACGTCCCTGCCTTGCCCTGATGACATTGGCCTTGTCCTCGCTGTGTTCTGCCAGGCCGCGGATTCCTGGCAGCTACGGGCGTCGTCGCATCCTTGGATTGCCCAGGAGGCTCTGGGATGCTGTGATCATGTTGGACATTGCCAGGTGATAGGAAACACGGAGGGCCTGGCTGTAGGCGCCTGCTTGCTGGCTTGCTGGTGTCGTTATCAGTGTACCATGCGCCATGCCTCCTGATCTTGAGGCGATGGTCCCTGCAGGCATTTCGGGACTCCGGGTGCTCCCGGCGACTTTCCGGATGTGCCAAAATGTCACTGTGCTTCTGCCGAAGCTGAAGCGGCAGGTTGTTTCTCTTCTTATTACGAGATCGAGGCCGAGAGCAGAGGAAGCAGAAGCCAGTGAAGGCAACAAAGTTGATCCTTTTCCTTGCAGGTGGATGAAGTTACAGCCTCTCCGGCTGGTGCCGGCGGGCTGTTCATTGGTGTCTCCTTGCAGAGTGGCGAGGTTCCCTGGGTTCTTTCGCGTTCTGATCGGAGCATGTCTTCGTGAGTGCTCCGTCTGAGGAAGCTAGGCACATGTAGAATAGGGTTTCCTAGAAACCCGCTAGGCTTGTGCAGACTGCAGATACTAGTGACCCGAAATAGAACTCGACTTCGGACATGTACTGGGTTTGGAACAGGAGATTGCCAATCATCCCCGAAAAGAGTTCGACGGCTGGTTGGTTGGAGGCAGTGGCAAGGCCGGGTCTTCGGGAGGTGGAGTCTGCCGGTGCTCCATTTCTTTCTGGTTGGAGGCTTTGACACTTCGGGCCAGCTGCCGATGCCTTGGGGGTGTAGGAGCAATTCCCGCTCCTTTCATCAGTGTGGTGTCGAGGTGCAGCGGAGCCAATCGATGCGGCACGCTTCTCAATTTCGCGGCTTGCAACGCTTGCGATGGGATTTGAACTTGCTCCTGCCGCAGTTCCAGACGCGGCAAGGGTTCACAGCGAATTGCAAGTGTGTGCGTGGAACTGCACCGGGTTCCCCCTCGCAGGAAAAGCTTCCGGACACTTTCGCCCCAACCAGCGACGAGCGCAGTCTGCGTGATGCCAGAAAGGCGTGTGGGTGAGGCAGCAGCTACGTCAGGACGGCCGTCACACCGTCAGGCTTTGAAGCTCCTCCGAGCAGCGCTGCCTCCCCTGGCGAAGGGAAAGGTGGAGGAGGCTTGTGAGACCTCGAGCCCTCCGTCTGTCAAGCGGGATGTGGCCTGTTGCCAGGTGGAGCTCCGGGACAGCTGGAGCAGTGAGGAGAGCGTGCTGTCGTTTCTTTGAGAGTTGTCTGGCAGTTCAGCAGCTCCGATCTGCCATAGCTTCGGACACTACGCAAAGCTGCGATTACAGCATCAACGGGCTCCATTCAACGGCCTCCAAAGTTTTAGCGCAATCCTAGCTTGAATGCAACTGGCGATTTCAGCAAGTTCTCCACATTAATGCAATGCTAAAGCATGGCCGCTGGCGCACAGCGCTCTGTGCTGCCGCGCTAGCCGTTGTAGCACGCCATGCGCACCTTGATTCTTCCAGGGTCGATCTATTTATTTGCGGTCTCGCTCTTTGGGCTTTGGGCTTTCTTGTCTTAGAAGCTTTGAAGCTTCAAGGTCGCGGGCCTGGTGTGAACCGGGCCGTCGCAGTGCTGGCTCCAGGCTCGTGGTGCAGTTGTGTCGGCAGCAGGGTCCGTCGCCATCGCTGCGTCTCGCTGCGTGCTGCCGAGTCACCGCTGCTCTGGCCGCCGGCGTGTCTTTGATGCCGTTGCCGTGGCGCTGCTGGCGGAAGAGGCTTTCGCGGAGCAGGCTCACGGCACGTAGGCTTCGTTCGAGGCGCGAGGCCCAGACCAGTCTGCCGGTGTTGAGGTTCCCGTGTACACAGAGACGGACAACCTCGGAGAGGTTTGGACGACTGCAAGCGCCACTTGCCTCAGGATCAGGAGTGCGAAAGCTCAGCAGTGAGCCTTCGAGTGTGGAAGCTGCGAGGTGCTCAAGCGTCGTGCCAAAGAATTGCAGAAGCTGAGCAAACGCAAGCTCCGGGGTTCGCAGGCCGCTACGATGACGCTACTTTGTGTGTTTCATGGCGCTGCCCGGCAGAAGCACCTTCAGCTCAGGCCCCTCTTCCACGGGCCTTTCTGACCTATCTCACCCGAGCCGCGTGGCCGCAGGGCAGGGATATGCAGGGACAACAGGGTCCAGGCAGGGGACGAAGCAGTCCGCGGTTCGGACCGGTTCCTCCCGTGGCCATGGCCAGCGCCCGCTCTTGACCTCACACATCGAGACTTCGCTCTCTGAAGTTCCCCAGCCCCAGCCCTGACTGTCCTGGGAAAACCTTTGCTTCGGCTCGGGCGGGGCCCAGGTGTTAATCAACTACGACCGCCACTTGCCTGCACAGCGCGCAACGTATTCACGCGTTTCAGTTTGACCACAGGCAGATCGATTAAGCTTTGGGCGCAGCCCGGACCTCAGCTCTGCCGCTCTGCCTCCCTGCTTCCGTCACTTCTCTGGCTCTGGTTCTGCCGACTTAAGGTCCGCACCCGAGGGCGCCGCACCGGCTGAGGCGCGGCGAGCACAGTTTGCCGCCCTGGCGGCCGCTGTGGACCTGGGCATCATCGGCGCCTACGGCAGTGATGCACAAGGTACCACGGCATCTCGTGAGCCCGCGTGGCATCTCGCATCTTCAACGGCCTGCAGAGTCCCCTCAGTCCCAGGCATCCAAAGCCTGGCGAAAGCACTCCGTGGCCTTTGCCGGAGTGACACGTCGGCCAAGCGACAGGCTCACTCCCGTCTCGATGCCGCATAGAGCACAGTCTGCAGTTTCGTTCCGTCTGGGAAAGTGTATGCCGCATGCCTGTCCCTGCAGGTGGCTTTTGCTCTGTCGTTGCTTCCGTCCGACTTGCAGCGGCCTGCCTTGCGAAAGCTCATATTCATATCACTCGACGAGCGAAAGCTCTGTAATGAACAGGGCATGTTGCCGCTCCTCAGCTTCGATTTCGTGCGAAGGCCCGTGAATGTCATCGAGGAGCTGGTCAGCGATGTCACTTCCAGTTTGGATGCCCACTTAGTACTGACACAGGAACTGGCAACACGAGCATGAACATTTCTGACCATGCGGTGGGGTGAGAGGATGTCAAAGGAAGCTTTTCCTGCTGAGGACTTCGCAGTGGGCTCAGAGTGCAATGGTGGCAATGCCGTTGTCAGGGGCATCGGCCGGAATGGGAACGTGTGATGCAGTCTGTGAAAAAGGTGTGTGTGCGCGTGGTCGTGGTGAGCGCCGGCGGGCGTTTGAGGTGGATATTCCCAGCTCTAACTTGGACGCGGCAGCAGCTGCCACGGATGCCGCCCTGCAGCGGCTGCCGAAGGAATCCCTTCCACGTCGACTGGCTGCGCTCATCCCAGTCCCTTAGCTGCTTTGGCTTGGTTTAGGCTTCAATTGGGCGTCGCCTGTCCTGGCCTCCACAGGATGGTTTGGCGCTTCCTGAGTCGGTGTGGAACGGCACCACCAGCCGGCTTCCCAGATGCCGGTTCGGTGCTGTGGAACTGATGGAGCTGCTACGAGCTGCTACGAGGCTATCGCCCGACCGAGCGGGCCCTCCTTGCGGCTGCGGCTCTGTCCTCTCTGGAGGTGAACCTTGATGGCGGCGAGGCTTGGGGGAACTCCGAGAGATCCCCCAAGATGGCCCCATGTCTTTGTCTCAGATTTCAGGGCTTTGGCGTTGGCCTCTTGGCGGGTGCAGAGCTGCCGGCGCCGGAGCGCCCCGCGAGCTCTTTGCCTGAAGACACCATTGCTCTTTGACAGCGCGCGGACGGGGACTCGGTGCCTCTTTTGAGGCTTGGATCCGCTCTTCGGTCCTCTGGGAAGATCTCCGGTCGCTCGCGAGCGGGCTTTGGACTCCTCGCAGTACCTCCGCCGGGAGCCGAGCCGAGCCAAAAGAGAGAGAAGAAGACACTACACTGCACTGCAGCGCTCCCCGCGGGCCCCGCGGGCCAGGCCTGGCCATCTCCGGCGCCGTCTGCAGCGCGGTGGTCCGTGCGGTGCTGCAGCCTCTGGAGGCTCAGCGCGCGGAAAGCGTGGGAAACCCGCGCCGGGTCCGGTGCGAGCAGGTCGTCAAGACCACTCAGCAGCCCGTTTCCTCAGTGACGCGACGAGCGAAAGAGGGGAAGCAAGACAACTCGTGCTTGCCGCTTTCCGAGGCTCAGCCCTCCCAGAGAGAACGATGCAGGTGCCATGCCGTTCGTGCATGACGGTAGTACGCCTGACGGCCGCTTTTATTCAGGGGAGCCGGGTGACTTCCAAAGCACGGCGAAGAGCCTTCTGGAAGCCGGAGGCGAGAACCGGCAGCTTGCATACTTCAGCATACTTCCAAGAGGAGTCGTTTGTTCAGCCGAGGCTTTGGTGCTCTGTACAAAGGGACAGATGCCACGGTTCTCGCCACTGGTGTCATGGGCTTTACCAGCTTCGGGCTGAACGAGCTCTTCAGGTGGGCCAGGAGGGAGTCATCATCACGAAGGGCCAGAGCCAGACCCTGCTCTATCTTGCTTCTTAGTGGTCGGACCCCCCCTGCCGGGTGCTCTTGCTTACTCGGAGTGGCTTGTATCATGCGGCAGTCATGTGTCTTGATGTGTCTTGTGTTCTTGATTGCTTCGGTTTGTCTTGTCTCAAGTTTACTTGCATTCCGCCAGGCGGAGCCTGGAATCAATGACTGGTGACACAACCGGTCAACCTAGTGCCTTGCTGGTGCTTGGCGCATCGATTGCGGCTGTGTTTGTTTCAGACTCTTGGCTGAACACATGTGGCCCTCCCCGAATCTCGTTTCCGGGTTTGAACCGAAAAAGCTGCGCAGGGCTTCATCGCTGCACCGTTTGAAACCTTGCGCGTGCGCGTGATGGCCCCCACAGAGAGCCGCTCCTGGGGTGACGTGGCGAGAATGGATTCAGTTTTGCAGTTCTCCAGCGGCAGTTGAGTGAGGGGGTGCATGACACGAGCGCAGCACAAATCAGGAGACTTGGCCACCGAAGCTGCCTCACTGGCAGAATTTCGGAGAGACAGAGACAGCTGCTCTCCGCCTGTCGTTTGCCAGGTGAGCAAAGGACTCTCTGAGCTTTGGGCAGGCCTCGGACCCTTCTGGGCCAGGGAGATTCCCTTCTCTGCATGTGACTCGGCCCAAAACAAAACGGGGAGAAAGCGGTGCCCATTGCAGCCCGCGCAGCGTGCGTGTTCTTAAGGCAAGTTCCTCGTGTTCGATCTGGCTTCACGCGACTCGGAGCACAGAGCCGCAAGCAAGGCTTCTCCGGTTCTCGACTCTCGCCTAGGTGGCCTTTTCAGCTTGTTCCCGGCGGCCGCGGATGCCGCCAGCCTGCAGGTCTCTGCCGTGGCCGGTGCCATCGCCGGCCTGGCCTCCGCCGTGGTCTCCAACCCTGCTGATGTGCCTCCGGCGAGAAAGGGAGGAGGTGCTACTAGCTTAGTACTGAAGTGGGTCAATGCTGTCGTTGCTCCATCTCAGGTCATCATTACACAGATATCCTCAGGTGGAGATGCAGCAGGCGAACTTGGGTCGTGAGAACAGACAACGAGCGAAGCGTGAGTTGCTAGAGGCCGAGCCCAAGTCAGGCTCAGATGGCCATGTTCGAACAATCATGCCTGTGTTTGCGCGCATATAAACAGTGGGTGTGCAGCGAGTTCGTTTGGTGTACGTTGTCCTGGTGTGGTTTCGGCTGTTTGTTTATGGTCCAGGTCGCAGGTCTCCCGGCAAGCTCGATCTGTGGAAGGGCCTCGGGGCTCGCAGCGTATACTTTGCGGCAGCTTCTTAGCTGAGCAGAGGTTGCGTGTAATGGAAGTGTATGAAAGCGGGCCAAAGCGAGCCAGCTTCTGCTGATGTTTGCCGTTGATTAGAGGCCATTTGCGCCCAATTCCTGCTCTACGACTCCGTGAAGGACAATCCTGTGGCTTTGATCTGCCGCAGATGTGCCTGCCAGTGCCTGCTGCGAGTGTGGCCACAAGTGCAAGGAGTTGTTGGGCGTGGGCTCCGGAGACCTGCAGCTGGTCCTCGATGTCTTCGGCATCTCGCAAACTGCTGAGAACCTGCTGGGCTGAGAAAAGTGCTCAGCGTGCGTGAGCATAGCTTGGCTTAAGATCCAGCTTAGTCCCTGCAAGTGCCGTGTTGTTTCTAGCCGCCTCAGCAAGAGTCGATCCTTGCGACCGCTGTCGCAGGCTCTTCGAATGGGAGACCGTGTGGGCGTGCTCTTCAGGTGCCGTCCTGCGGCCTGCGCTTCTTGGCAAAGGAAGTTTCTGTGCTCTTTGCGGAGCCTGACACTTCCTTCTTGACGCAGCTGCGTTGGCTTGGATCATGGGCGACAGTTGCAGATAGATCATTGGCCGAAGAATTTGGCGAAGCACCCTGTCACCTTGCCAGCCGGAGTCGATCTGCCGTGCATATTTTCCAATTCTCGTGATCACATCATGTCGCTCCTGCCACGGACATGGCGCTGCGATGCCCGTGCACCCAGCGACCTGGCTCAGAGGGCGAAACTGCAAAACTTACGGACGACGTGTGGCTTCTGAGGACTCTGTGGGCCCTTGCGGCCCTGTCTGCCGTACCGTTCTCTCACGGTGACTGCTTGGTCGGGCCACAGAGCGGTAGACGTTTCAGCGAGACGGACACACTGAGGGATCTGACACGCAGGCCCCGGTAGTTGATGGACAGCATCCAAGCGGCTCCTGCGCCAGGAGCCCAGCGGAGTCCAGGGTCAGCTCCATCGCATCCCATCGCGTCCCATCGTCTCAGGCCGAAGGTGCGGTGATTTCAGCTTTCGGCCGGCCGCCCAGCCTAAGGGGAGGAAACCGCGCGAGGCTCAGAGTCGACCAGTCGGACCCTCGAGGCACATGCGAACCACAGTGCGCGGAGGGCTACATCCTCGAAGGCCAGGGCCAGAAGTTGAACTTGCGAGGTTTTTTCTCACGTCGCCTCTGGCAGTCGCGAGCAGCAATGGGCTGCTCCTGTGTTTGAGCGGCCAGCAAGGAAACCAAGCCGGCGCAGCAACATGCAACCAGACATGAACTTGCCAGACTTGCTGTGATGAAGAGTTTGTGCAGACTCTAAGGCTGGTTCCACCGACCTTTCAGTGTATCGGCCTGAACTGCTCTGCCCCAGTCGGCATTCCATTCGGGGGGCCAAAGACTTAGTGACAGCAACGGAGCTTAGCAGCTTCAACAACAGCACCTTCGCACCCACACGCAGCTTGCAAGCCATGGCTCAGGGAGGAGGAAGAGAACCATACAAACTGCGAAGAGGGCGGTTCTGTGGTTGTGAGGTGCTGAGCTTCTCGTGAAGCAGCGCAGATTCCGCTGGGTTTGATTATCGAGCTGATGCAGGTTCATGGATCGTACTGCACGCCCAGGCACTGAAGCATAGTGAGTTGATATGATCACTGCTACCCTCCGGACTGTTGTCAGCTTCAGTCACAGGTGTAGAAATGGCTATACCCCGAATCTGGACGGCGTGCTGCGCTCAGCTTCAGCTGCACTGTGCCGAGCCGCCATGGATACCACATGAACTATGTCGGAATCGTTGATCTAGATGGGCCCGGCAACAAAGCATGGCGAAACTTCGCACCACAGCAAGTCATCGTGCCGAGTTGCCTTGGGATCCGGTGCTGCGGAAGAGCATCCTCCCCTGTGTCGCGGGGGTCCTCGCACCGTCGCTGGTGCCTTAGAGGCCTACCTATAGCCAGGACTCAGTGCTGTGCACCTCCGACGAGGACCTTCACTTGTATGGGAATGCCCTGCCAGGCGCTGGAAACACGTCGCACACGTCGAACCATACTTTGCGAGTTAGCGTTACAGGTGCCGCGTACCGGCACGGGAGAGGGGCAGATCTTGAACGCCCATGCGCTTCGCCCGTGACGCGGGCGCGTTTGTGTAGAAGCTTGTGGCGTGTTGCCGCACCGGCACTCTCCAGGTGCTCCATAGACCTCTCAGAGATTCCGCACCTGGGCTTCTGCGACCCCCTTTGCCGGTGGGGCCGGTAGAGCTTCACGTGCCCATGAATGTGATGCGTGATAAATGTGAGTTTCGCGAGGGACGGATGGCATCCGAACGCCGTGGCCCTGGCAGCAGCAGAGTACATGTCACAAACGCACACTGCAGCTACTGCTGCTTGTTACTTCCGTATACTTTGAACTCCTTGATGCTCACAACACTTCGGGCCCGTTGCCAGGTATCTCTGATACAGTGCGTGGCTTCGAACCTGACCTCCCTCTTCGAGTGCCTGGGCAACTACTGTGTGCAACTTACTCGTGAGAACGGGCAGAATTTGACAGAAGGGACGTGAGCTCCAGAAGCTGAAGCCTCGGGCGGCAGTAACGGAGTGACTCTGCAAGGAGACGGCCGGTGCAGCAATACACTTCCAAATTGCCACTTGAGCAATTCTGTCACTAGTTGTGAAGAGACTCCTCAACTTTCATGCGGAGCGTTGTCTGCCAAGGCAGCCACGTGACACAGGCAACCTAACACATCAGTCGATGTTGACACGGCGATGTTGCAGTCACGACAGCCAGCTCGGAAAGTTGGTTCTAGTTGTACAATATCATTGCGAAATGATCGAACGCTCGGAGGAGGCTCCCTTCCTTGACCGCCGTGTGCAATTGAATACTGGGCCGGGCATACGGTATGCGCTGCAGACCGCCGACACGTGTTTTGTGGTGGCCTCCTGAAACCAAGTTCCAATTGATGAGGCGCAACTCGCATTGCATACCGCTCACGTTGTTTCAGCGACAGACAAGCGCTATAAGGTCCCGCACCCAAGCTGGCGTGGAGCCTGGGCTCCTGCCAGCGGCGCTGTGTTGGCCACTCGCTAGCCTCTGAGGTGCAGTTTGCCGAAGCGGTGACCTGTCAAGAGGGCCCGGAAGCGGAGCACGAAGGAGACGTGAGACAAGAACCCATGTCTCGCTGGTCGGACATGGCATGGGGTGCAGATTGAAGTGGCAGGAATTTGCACGCCCAACTGCAAGCCAGGGTACCGCAGGGGACTTAGTCCGTCTCAGCCGGTTCGCTCCGAGTTCAATGAGCGGAACTCAGGTCCAAGTGCGGACGTGCTGTATGCGCCTTGAAGACTTCCGCAATTGCTAGCAGCTCGCGGGAAAAGACACTTTGCCCTGCCGAGGACTTGCAGAAACGGTGTCTTAACGCCCTTCAGATACGAGTGCCGCTTCCCCGCAAACAGCGTCGAGCGCGCAGTTCCTGAGTCTTTTTCATTATCCTTCAAGGCTTCCCGGAGAACTGCACTGCCCACTTCGAGCTACCATGGCAGCCCTTGCAGATTCCAGAGGATTTCTCAAACAGAAAGCCCAAGTCACAGCTCTTATGCCAGGGCCTTGCCGCCGTCACCCGGCTACAACCGGTCTCTAGGCCGTGTGGCCTGGCTTGTGTTCGGTTCCCTTTCTGGCAGAAGAGAAGCTCAGACAGGCATCAACAGCCCACTTGTCGAATGGGTACCGCCGGAAGCGAGGAGATGCATGCGTCGAGTTGTAGGAGAATCAGACGGTGAATCCCTCGTACTTGACCATCGTTGGTTTTGTGGGAGTTCTGCAAACTGCAGAACAAGCATATCATGAGCGCACCAAAAGCCACATGCTTCGACAAGGCAACAGAAGCAGTCTGAGTGTTTGCATAGCGCTCGTAGCACTGTTGCCTCGCCAACTTTGCCCTTCTGACCTCCAGCGATAGCCCTCGCGACATTTTTGATGGTAGGGGAAAGGGTACACAGCATACATCCTCAAACTGGCAGAGGCGCAAGTTCATACAGGACAAAGAGTCAAAGCTCGAGGGCCGATTTGAAGAGTTTTCGAACTCGAATACACCTTCCTCTGACTCTCGCAACACTCACCACTCCCCAAGGGGCGGGGCGGGGCTGCGCATTCTAAACCACATTGAGCATCATGGTGTGGTTTGGCATATGTCTGAGTCTAACATATTACTTGACGATGCTAGGACTTGTGCGGAAGGGCCCAGCATGTTCCACCGCGGACGCCGGCGTGCCCAGAGAGAGGCCAGTTGACCCGGTATATGCCCTCTGTCTCTCCTCGAGGTTGTACCGCTCAATGCTTGCCTGGATATGCGGGGCCCTCGGCAGGTGGTGCACTTCACCTGTGTGCTGCGTGTTTGCAACATGTCAAGGAGCCGGACATACCTTTCCTTTCCTGCAACCTGGGCAACTTCAGTCGGGCTCCAATCCAGGGATTGTCCTGTTAAGAGTCGTTCCAACCGGCACGGATGGATAAATGGAGATGGCGAGGTCCGCCAGTGTACCAGTGCGTGGGCCAGCCCTGTCAGGTGTTGGACTCAACGGCATGCGAAGTTGACTTCTGCAGTGAGACGAAGAGAGCGTCGCGGCATCGCTTCCTTGCAGGCGTTGCAGGGCATTCCGGATGCTCCTGCCTTGACATGCGAGGAAGGCTGTGATCTAGCCCATAGCTGCCGTAGCTACTAGGCAGGCCACATTAGCATGGTTTGCGCCGAGACGGCAGGCACAGTCCTGGAGCACGGAGGGTCCTGCACCACGAAGTGCGACTATGGTTGGGCTCCGAAGAAGCTGCTTGTCCCTTCAGCACTTCAGCCAGCGGACTGAAAGGCTTTGTCCCCTCCGATGCAGTCCTGAGCAATAGCCTCAGCTTGCGAGCCATGCCACGGTGAGGCCAAGTACCGACGTCTTTCGACAGGTTGCAATGCGACGGTGCTGGATCCCGCGAACTATACTTGCATCGGCACTGCTTGCAACGTGTGGCGACTCGGAATTCCAACGGTTGGTTTCTGTGGAACAAGTGATTTGGCTGAGGCTCCGTCTGGTGTCGCAAATGCCCCAACTATGCCGTGCAGCCCTCGGATCCCCTTTCCTCTGACACTTTTCGGAGGGTCATGTAGCGGGTCTCCCTATCGTTTTCGCCCTCACCACGTCTTTTCAGCATTGGCATCAAACGTGGGCATGGCTGTCCCCATCACGTCCCTGAGCTGACATCCCGGTACATGCTTTGGATGCTTTGGTAAATGTCAAACGCACTGTATTGCCGTACATGTCACCCAACCTGGCGTGTTGTTTCTGCGAGGTGCGTGGAGCCCCCCGAGAACCTGACTCACGGAAGCATTTGCACGACGCAGTGCTTGTCAGGGTTCGTGCGCAATGAGGATTCAGCGATGAAAGCAGGGTCAGTTCAATGCGCCCGGCAACAGAAAGGTACCCAGCACACCGGTGCTGCACTGCTACGGAGGACAATTGAGGCCAGCTGTGACATGGCGCCGCCTTTGTACACAATGACAGCCATCAGCCGACTCTTTCCGCAGCGCTTGACATCGAGTGCAGCCTGCATGGATGGCCGCGGTAGGGCAGTGCCCTTCAAACCCTGGAAGCAGTGCTCATCCAGAATGCCACCCATGCAGGCAAGTGAAAACGAAGCAGTGAACTGCACAAAGTCCTGCAGTTGCCGTGCAGCTGTCTTGTTGTGGGCCGAAATTCCAGTGTCTGTAGTGACCTATAGTAACTCCAGCGACTGACTGTTCAAGCGGAAAGTTGTGGCCAGGCAGTTTAATCCAAAGCGAGGGACCAGCTCCTGCCGCTTTGGTTCTGCCTGCAATTTCTGTCATCATCCTGATCACAAGCGCGCCAAACATCGGGGGCAGCGAGGACCGGACAGTGCCGTGAGCCGTGCGCGCGGTTGATGTTGTCTTGCTCGGAATGGTCTGTGACTGTCTGTGCAATGCAGGACGCCACGCCGTGCAGCGCCGGGAATTCCAGGAAGAGCGTGCGGCGGCGGCGGAGGGACCCAGCCCACGTCTCGTGGCCCTGGAGCGGATCTACAGAGAACCGAACCAACTCGTCGAGGCCGCGCGGGCGGCGATGAGAAAGCGGACCTGTGCCAAGTTGCGGGAGGCGGTGGAGCAGGAGCTGGACAAGCGGATGTGGAGAAGCGGGATGGATGCCCAGTGTTTGAGGCCCGACAGTGTGCGGATCAAGTGCTCCAATCCGAACCCAGATTCGGATCTTTCGCTTCTCCCCGACTTGAATAAAAGGAGCAAGTGGTTGACAGGAACCTTGCATCTGCTGATCAAGAAGTATCAGGACAGCATCGACAACAGCCAGTCTTCCAAGTTCGAGCTCATCGCAGAATCTGTGCAGCAGAACCTCTCAGCATTGCAGAGAGATTTCGAGGAAGTCTTGCACACAATCGACGGGCTCAGTGACCATTTGAAGAACCACAGCTGGCTGGAAGACACCGTGGCGGCTCTCTTGCAGAAGGACTTCGACCTGGATGGGATCAAGGATCTCTGCGAGCTGCTCCACTTTCTTCTCGTACCCAAAGACGGAGAAAACCTGATCACTCTGACTGAAGCGAGGACGATGAAAGGTCTCGTGCAAGAGGTGCAGCAGATCTTGGACATGCAGAGAACCGACCTCCTGGAAGGGAGCGAGCCTGTGAGTGAGGCAGAGTGAAAGGGAGCAGCACGGCAGTTGGGGGACTTCGCTTTGGAATGCTTTGGACCTGTCTGCGCCATGCGCCAGTTAGCGCATGCTCGGACTGCTTCGTCACTGTCAAGAAAAAACGGAGTGCTGCCCCATGCCCATGCTTCCTATCTCCTGCATTCTAGGAAGACCACATACTTGGAGCACCATGTGCACGTCGTATATCAGCCGTGGGCCGGCCGTGTGGCAGGCCCGCGAGCTTCGAGTGCATAGAGGCGAGGGCCAAGGGAGGGCTCGAGCCGCGAGTTGGCAGCGGCCGGCGGCGCTTCGACGCTTTGTCTCTTAAGCGACTCCCTCCGAGGAGTCGGTGTGGCTCGGCTATGAGCCCTCCGACGACACCATTGCCAAGGCGTGGGCCGAAAACGTTGCCGCCGACTCAGCGCAGATCACAGCACTACTGCAGCGCTTGGAAATGTGACCCGTCATGAGGCCGCCGCTGGGCTGCGTGAGGGCACAGCCCTGGCCTGCTTTAAGGATTCATCTAAACCCAGCTCCCCGTCCTGTACTCTTTGGAAGTCTGCGCAGGATGAGCTCAGCCGGGCCATACACTGCGTGGTTTTGCTGGCCTCTGTCACGCCAAGCCCCCACTGCGCAGTGCCGCGCACGGCTGTGTTTCTCTTGAGCCGAGCGGTTGCCAGGGCGACGCGGCAGGGCCAGTGGAGCACACTGACTGGGCCGCAGGCCCTCCTAAGAGGGACAAGAGCCAAGTCAAGTGGCTCAGAGCGACAGCGTCTGTAGGTGGAGGAGTTTGTCCTGGAACCCCTTACCTTGGACAAGGCGATCTCGAGCTTCCGGCCTCGCTTAGACGGCTTGGACGTGCCTTGATGAGGCAGTCGCGTGCTACCGAATCACAGGTGCCTTGTGCAAGCCGGGAGGGAGCTGTCTCTAGGTTCTAAAGCTCGGAGAGTCCAGACCTCTCCTGGAGGTGGGAGCACAATGTGCCGTGCTCTGGAGCTCGTGTCCGAGTCGCTGTGGCAGGCCGGGCGGCCGGGGGACGGCACAAGCCGGGGCAGTTGATGTAGAATGTAGAGTTTATGCCCAAGCGCATCATGGTCACGAGGGTGCAGAGGTGCTGCTGAGTCCAGACCTCGGGTCCCAGCACAACTCATTCGCGTTGAGAGCCAGTAACTCAGGCACAGCTGAGACCTACCACATCTCGCTGGCAAGCCTGGCGGACGGGGCAGCGGTCTGCTTCCAGCAAGGTCCAGCTCTCAGCTCGCTTAACTTGTTCAAGAAGGGCTCTCAGCGCAGCGGCGCAGCGCGGAGGTTTGGACACCTGGCGATGCCGGCTCCTGGACCTGGGAAGCTCGAGTAGCCTCTCAGTGCCGGGGCCTCGAGCTGCAGAACCCCTTGCCGTCCCTTTGAAGTGCTCGCAGGGGGCCAGAGTTGGTGGTGCCTGGAACTCTCTCAGGGCTCGCCGGCCGCTTACAGAGAGAGAGAGAGAGAGAGCGGTGCGCTTCGACTCAGCAGAGGAGAGTAGGAGGGAGAGCGGAGCGGAGCCTCGAGGCCCTGGCCAGCCTCGGCTCGCGCCGCTCGCGCCTCGTGGCTTGCGGTGCGGAATCCACCGAGGCAGAGAGCGGGCAGAGAGGGAGAGCGGCGCTTACGGCTTAGCTCGGCCGTGCCTGCAGGGCCGTTCCTACTGCCACCTCCTCGAGGTCTCCGCAGGCCTTCGGAGTCGAAGCTGCGAACTCGGACATCTCGAACTGCCTGCTGCCTTGACTAGGCTCCATGCTGAGCAATATCAGTTCCGTTGAGGTGAGCACCCAGGCACCTACTCGTAGCACGAAGCAAAACAAAGTGTGTAAATGCCAGGATCATGTCGCAATGCTCCAGTCGAGAGGCTGCATTTCTCGTTGCGACCCACCTCACCTCGCCAAGCGACGCCGTGGGGACCCACGAAGGAAGGAGTGAGTTGCCGCACTTGGCCCGGGCCCGTCCAGGTTCTCCTCTGCTTCTCGGACTGGAGCTCCGTGAGCGCGGCCGCAGCCCGGTCTTTGCCTCTGCGGCAAGGGACGACCCGGCAAGACTTGCGAGGTGTGCAAGATGCTTGAAGCGAGCGGTGATACACTTGTCTTCGGCCGAGCTTGTTCTGTCATCTGCTGTGACAAGGGGTGGGAAGAGATTAGGTGGAGGCGGGAAACGTTACGGTGGACCACGGTGCCTTGCTCTTAGCATTCCAGCACGTCCACTTCGAAGCCACATACGACTTCCCCCTTGCAAAGGTCACTCGCTACCTAAGTGTTGGTGCCGTGTCTGCCAGCCGTGCTCCACCCAGGACTCCCCCAATTTGAAGATCGGGAGATTAGGGGGACTGTGGCGGCTTCCCACTGCCATTCAGGGGAGAGTTTCAAGACTTTTCAAGACCAAGGTGCTCTACTCTGTATGGAGCGCCAGGCCTCTCTGCGCTGCCGGCAAAGACAGACAAAGACAGAAGACTACGCGGCTAGATTTTGGGCAGGGCCCTTTGCTGGAACACTGTATGGATCGACGTCTTCAGTGCGAAGACTGGGCTGCGGCCGGCGAGTGCGGCACCGAGTGGCGGCTTTGCTGAGCTGTAATGCCATGCCTTTTGCTGCGAGCCGAGGTGCGGCTTCAACCCGAAGTTCATGTTCGACCTGTGCCCCTTCTCACCCCCCAAACTCTCCCGAGAGCCTCACCGCTTTCGACCGTCGCAGGTGCCCTCAGACCTGCGGAGTCTGCACGCAGGCCGCCTCTCTAACGGAGCTTCTCCCGCGATGCGGATTTGCCGAAAGGTTGGAGCGAGCCAGGGCCGGTGCCACGTCGTGGGCGTCACGCCCGAACCTTCCAGCAACAGCCGAGCAGCACAGGCTTGAGAGAAGCTCATAGTACAGTGAGGGCCCCTTGCTCAGGTCTGACGGTATGTTGCAAGCAGGACCCGAGGCCATCGCTGCAAACGAATGGAAGATGGAAGATGGCGCACCTCAACCTGGCAGCCTGGCTCAGGCTGTCGTGAACGATGGCATCTCGTGGAACTTTGCGGCAGCTGTGGTGCGGAGCGACACCGTGCTGCCCTTTCCAGAGCGAGCGATGGCCCGCGTTGCCCCATTGAAGCGGAAGCTCTTTGAATCTCGAGGCACTGGTGTGCTTCTCCGACTCCACGCGCAGAGATGCTGCAAGGCGAGCCTTGCGAGTCCTTGGGATACCAAATTCCGAGAAGAGATTTTGCTCCAGGTGCCGGACTGTTTGGGGCCCGAACCCTACTTTCGTTTCGAAGGAAGGGTTGATTCCAATCCCTGGTAACGGAGGCCCTCGCAACTGGGACCCGCTGGAGGTGAGGGCCTGCTCGGAGAACGTGTCGGCCAGTTGTGTGCCGTGAAGCGATCGCTGCATGCAGTTTCTTGCAGTGCTCGCTGGTGGTCAAAGGTGCCACTAGGATATGGTGGGTAGGCCGGCAAGGCGGGCACTGCCAAAGGCAGGCTCTGCCACCCGCTTGAGCTCGAGATTGTGGCTTGACAAAGACAGCTGACGTTGCCCCCGCGAACTCGGACCAGCACACGTTTGCCCCGTCAAATTTGCATGCTTGATCCATGCTCGAGGGCCGAGGGCTGCCGAAGGGGGCTGCTGGGCTGGGTTTAGGCCTTTGTAGGTCCTGGGCCTTTACCAAAAATGTTGCCCAACACACCCGGCTCGCCGCAGATGCGGCTGAGGCGTTGGAACTTTGCCGGAAACGCTCCTGAGCTGCCACAGCTTTCAAGGCGAATGAAGCGGGGCGCGAAGGCCATGCGCGACCTCCGGCCACTAGCAGAAAACACACCGAACCAGCGACCTCTAACCGAGCGGACCTTGGATGCGGCACAGGACTGGAGCGTGAACAGCACACCCAGGGGCGCCAGGGCTGGTGCAACCGCCACCTGTGGTCTGGAACTTTCTGAGGAATCCAGGAGCCATTTCTTCGGGCACCGCACAGGTTTGGATGTCGAGGCCGAGCTGCAACGTCAGGCTGTTCTCCTGAAGGGTCTTCTGCGGGATGTCGCCATCATGCGGGACACAGTCTGGCACCTATCGGACGAGCTAGCCTGCATCTCGTCTGCACAAGCCACCACCCAAGAAACACCAGTAGGTGCCTGTCAGTATCCCGATCCTCCTCGTTTGGCCGAGGTGTCTCGGCACCTCAGAACGATCTTGAGCAGCTTTCAGCAGATGTAAGGGAACTGCAGCAGGCTTTCAGCTGCTTCAGTCGCCAGGATTTGGAGGAAGTGGAACGCGCAAAGCTCGCGTCCTACCAAGAGAGCCGCAGCCTCGAGGAGACACGTTTGGAAGAGGATGCTTCCGCGAGCTTCCGCGAGCTCGAGACCCGCTTCGAAGAGCATAGCCGGATGCTGGAGAGCAGGTTTGAGGATCTGAATCCTAGCATTAAGCACCTTGAGACACGCCTGGAAGAGCACAAGAACACACTAGATGCCCGTTTCGGCGATCTACACCTGAGCTGGCTTGAGGCCAGGTTCGAGGAGCAACGGCAACTGCTGGAGATGCGCTTCGCTGAGCACAAGCACTTGGAGACGCGCTTCGAGGAGCACCGGAGTAGCCTCAGCAGCGCTCTGGAGGCTCGCTTGGAGGAGAGGGCACGAAGAGTCATGAGTCAGGGAGTATGAGTAGCTTTCGAGTTATTCTAGGGGCTGCGCCCACGGGCAGCGCAAGTTAGAAGCCTGAAGCAAGACCACCCACACACGCTTGTGTTTGCCCGTCCCCTTGCCCCCGGGTAGGCGGACGGGGTTTGAGCGCGCATTGGAGGTAACAAATACTCTCTTAATAGGTAGCAAAGGCAGCCAGGTAGCAGAGGAGTGGAGAGGTAGCCAAGGCTGTGGGCAGGGTGGACATTGCGAAAGCGGTAAGACGTGCGTGGGCGTGGAGGTTGGGTGAGGGCGGTGAGGGTGGTGGGGGTGGAATTTCTTAGCATGTAGGAAAAGCAGCCAAGGTAGCGGAGCAAGCGGGAGGGCCGGGGTTAAGGTTGGGTGAGGGCGATGACTGTGTGTTTGAGTTTTTGAGTACCTGAGAGGACGTGCAAGGACTGCACCACAGAATGGCGGATCTGGAGCTTTGGCTTCGCAACGAGGTGCTACTCCAGCTCTCTACCAACACCGCCGAAGAGGTCCGAGCAAAGAGCAAAATACTCCACATCAGGGAGTAGTCTTCGGGAGCTCTTCGGAATACTCTCTCTCTCTCTCTGTCTGTCCGTCCGTCTGTCTGTGTCTCAGTGTCCATGCATCCGGAGGTCGAGGACGGCTTCAAAGAGTTAACGAAAAACACGATCAGGAGACATGGCCTGGAACGATATTAAAACGATATCGGAACGATAACAGATTTTTCGATAAGAGTGTCATTTCTGAACACTTCCCCATTCTTTATTGGAACCCTCTCTACCAGGTCTCTACCAACAACGCTCAGCTGTGTAGTGAAGCTTTGCCTGCATGACTCTTAGAAATCGTTCTACTCGACATGCTTGCTAATTAGTTACTTGCTCTATGATGCCCATGCCGCTAATGTCCGTTTGATAATAGGCAAAACGATATACTGAACCCCCCAGAGACCGCTGTCGCGGGAACGAATATTGCCCATCGCCCCAGGTGATCGAGCAAGCCTCTGTTTCAGTGACGCCACTGCTCCGTCAGCGGGCCGAGGAGATCGCCGAGCGGGCACGGCCAGCAACGTCGCCTGCAGTGAGCGGTGCTGGTGGCCAGCAACGTCCCAGTTCGCCTGGGTTCTTGTCTCTGGTCCTCCATGCAGAGCGGGTGGCAGAGGTCGCCGCCGACATAGCACGAGAGGCGATGTTCGGACTAGACTTAGACGACACTGACTACTTTCTCAAGTCAACCTCCTGAATCTGTTCAATCTTCATGGACTGTGTGCTTTCCACCATGCAGGTGGTCCATTCCGTGCTCACGAACGCGGAGCTCCAGGTTGGAGAGACGCCCCCACCACAAACGCCCCCGCCACAGCTTTGAGCAGTTTGAGCGACTTTTCGTCCTTTGACTTCCGGGTCTCACCCTGAGCGCCGTTGGGCCGAAGCTCGGCCTCCGTGCGAGCAAAAAATGCTACGCAAGGCGCTTTGCTGACCATCTCCCGGTCTGCTACGGTCTGCTGATATTGCTTTGCAGAGCCAGGTGCAATCGTGAGGGCGGCGCGCTGATCAGAGTGGCCGTGCCACCGCCGACGATTCTTCTGAGCTGTAAAGGACAAGGCGGCAGGCCTCCGAAGCAGAGTGCCCTTGGGCCGCCCTTGCCAGGTCAACGGCGAGATTGCGGCAACGCATCACTTTGCTCAGGCGCCTCCATCGGAGGCCCGGCCCAGGACCGAGCCTCGCGCGGCGCTTTTAGCGGCCTTCCAGGGAACCTTTTTGTAGTGTTGTGGAGGCTGTCGGCTTCTTGACTCCTGTACTGCGTTTGGCCGGCACTGGGACCGCCTGCAGCCCGACGCTGCCAGGGGTGGCTGCATTGTATGTTCAAAAAACCGGCAGGAAAGCGGCGAAGCTCATGCCGGGACTTGCGCCTCCGTCCAAAATGTTGGCGGATAGCCGCTGAGGCTCGGGGAATGTGGGCATGTGGTCAGAGAAGGGAGGTCCTTGTCTGTGGGGGGGTCGCGCCATGATCAAAGCTGTTCTGGCGAGGCGGTTCAAAGTGACTGGCGCAACGGGAATTCCTGTTTCACATTTTGTTTCACTCGCAAGATGTGGCGATCAAGTTGCCGCAGTACGCCAAGCCTGTTGTTGCTTGGCATAAGAGCGCGCCCGTGCAGGATGTCCGCACCTCGAGGAAACCTGGTTTTTGCTCAGCTGCCGTGAGGTAGATGCCACTCTATGCCAACCTCCCGCCGTTTGTGGTGGGCATTTCCAATCTCAAATTCTGCTTCAAGCGTTCTACAGGATAGCATGCTGCACCCGAAACCAAACATAACCCATATGTGGACCTGCTGTGCTTAGGGGCTTTGAGTTCAGACATTGTGCCATTCGGGCGCGGCTTCGCGCACCTGGCGCGGCTGTGAGTCGGCCCTCCCCCCGAAGCGAAGCGAAACGAAACGCTTGCGCAAGCAGAGGACACTCCTCTTGTCTACAACGTAGAATCTTTAGTAGGTCGAATGGCATCTTGCACTGGATGGCCTCATTCAGGGATGATTTTGAGGGAGTCGTCCCTGTAAAACAGCATCCTTGGCTAGTGCTTTTAGAGCTAGCCGTGCGACTCGTCGATCTGAGGTTTGATACCGGTGACACTAGTCTTGCCGTCAGTGTCTTTGTGGCTAGAGCTGATGGCAGGCACATTTTTCTGGTAACCTCAGTTTGACTCTTTAGCATGCTTGAATTCGTGTGTGCGCCACTCGGATCTTACAGCAATGCAAAACAGAACAGAACAGTAGGTCGAGTATCCGAGAAGCCACGTCCCGGCCCATCGTTCCTCCGTATTTTCGTCGTATGTCTTTCAGAGTTCGTGTTGTCGTACTCTCTCCGCAAAGGGAACATGCATTGCCGGCGCTGGGAGTTTTGCGGTGAAATGCGAAAATGCACAACTACAAGACACATGAGGGAGGAACGAGGGTGGGCCACACATATACGGGTAGCTCGGGCGGGTCCGACAGGGCTGGGGTTTCTCGAGCACTATCACCACGATGAAACAACGAGAAGAATGCCAGGGAGCTGCAGACTCCCGACGGAAAAGCACGAGCAACATTACGAGGAAGCTACGTATCGACGGGTTCGGGCTTGCATATGCTAGATTTCTTCTATGCTTCGTATATAGATGTAGATGGTAACATTTACTTTGGTTGAGCGGGCACTATCACTTACAGGCTTCGCGCTGATGCATGATAGCCATAGCAATGTGGTTTACTGTGGCAAGCCAATGATGATGTACTATTTGACCTGCTGCATCTTGCCGTGCATAGCTTCTGGAAGAAAAGGCATGCACTGCTTGGTGCTCTGTGTACGGCGATTTAGGTTTACTCGCTTGTAAACTTAGGGCATTCGTTGTCACTCACTGTTTGTACTGCTGTTGCATAAGACTATATGCCTCTAAGTTTGTATCTACTAGAGCACGTCATGATGTAGTCTCATGCAAGGACTGACTGTGATTAATTCTGCAGTTTACAGTTCTATGCACCATTGCTGCTCCATGCCATCTTACTATGATACAAAAGTGCATGCCGTCATAGAGTGCTATATATCATGAAAAAGCGTAAGGCCGTGCATGCTGTCTGTCATGTGCGGTGATTACTTACATGCGATATGTCCGCACATGCACCCGCGCATCCTTTAAGTTTTGATGAGGAGAAGGTTCCGACTTCCACTGCCCCCTTCATCGTCGCTTGGCTAAGGCCCGCATCAGTCCGGCATGCATCGTGACCCTCGCGGCGACATGCGCTATTTGTTGAATGCGTAGGCTTAGGCTGCAACTTAGGCTTATACGCAGCCAGACAGGTTTGGTGTTCCAGGGACCAGGCAGTTCTGGTTTATGGCATCTCGGAACTTGGCCATCAGGAAGGCTTGCAGCTGAGAGATGACAAGTTCTTCGAGCGCTTGGAGGCCCGGATGATTGGCTTCGTTTTGGTGAAGCCAGGAAGGACAAACAGCAGCGTTGGAATTAGCTCGCTATTTCTTTCGACCGACGCCGGGGACGCCTTCGCGGGCCTCTCCCGGCGTCCCATAGATCACAGCACCAGGCTCCACGCCGATCTACAATACTCCTGGCCGCAGCGCTCGTCCACCTGCAGGCGAAGGTATGCTGTATTTTGTACATTGCAACCGTGCCTTTAGGTGAGGGGGGTGTAGTTGTGCATCGCACCTTGCGTAGGAGTTTGTATGATCATGTACAGTCATCATGTTGTATATTGTTCTCGCGACTTACCTCTCAAGCCCTCTGAGTAAAAGAGTAGTTGCACTCGCTCATGGCTTAACGGTTCTGGTGTATTCTATACTGAAAGCTGCGACATCCCACACCCTCCGTGAACATGCACTTCACATGCACGCAACCCCAAAGCCTGTACGCCAGCATCCCGACCACTTAAACCCAAATTACGAAGGAACCCCAATACCACGTACGCAACATTACACACAGCCTCGCAAGGAACTGTGAGATGCCGCTGCTGCCAGGAAGATGAGGATGCGGGCCTGTCGAGGTCGAGCCCTCCAACCCTCCAGCACTCATGCGTAAGCTTACTTAAACTTACGGCTGAGGGTTTAAGGTTTGTTTAGAAACCCTGAGACGGGAGACTTGCACCAGAAGCACTTGAAGCGACAAGCCCTTGAGTGTGTGGGCTACACCAGGGAGACCTTCAGCCCAGAAACGTTCATCAACCGTGGTCAAACCACGAAGCAGATCAAAATCACAGGGAAGACACCTTTCTCTTTGATCCGACCTCCTCCTACTGGACCAACGGACGCCCGAGGAGCGTGAGGAAACTCGTGAACGTGTCCGACGCTGGGAACAGGCGTATCGATGAAGAGTGTCCGTTTCGCGGATCACCGTGATCTGATCTTCGGTCATGGCCTATTTCCTCGACGACTCTGTGATTTCGCGATGTCATTTCAAGGGATCGTAGCCGACGTGGAGCAGTGTCACGACATTATAATAAAAAGCTCTGAACCGAATCCTTACGAAGTTGCGGCGGATTTCTTCTCTTTCTGTTTGATCGCGCTTATCTTCCAATGTGAGTCATGCTTGAGGCACAACTCATGGCGGGTGCGAACTGACTTGGATACTTAGTCCAGTTCGTAGGTGTCGCAATCTGAGCTATGAAACTGATGTCATGGTTTACCATGTACATGGAGCAAGTCTCCGTTTCGCGGACATTGCCCCGAATCTTTCAACATTGCTTGCACATGGTACCGCACACAGGACCATGTGACAGTGCCTACCATAACGGCTCCGCATGCAACGCAACTTTGGCTCAAGACTATGCTTCGGCATAACAAACTATTGCCGTACGAGCAAAGAGCTAGTGGCCTGTGAACGGCCTATTGGGTTCCAGCCCTTCCCCTTGCACAGACAACGTCGCGCCTCTCTGATGAGAAAACAGTCGGACCGAGTTTGCCTGCAGGGGGTGCTCTGTGTGCATTGCATACCAGCGAGTCGAGTGTTGGCGACCAACAACTACATCGCTACGCTCGGTGAGGTGAGCATTCATACGATATCATCGTTACCTAACCCTCACGCAGTCTATATGCTTTCACTTATATTGCTTGCTTGCACGTTCCTGGTCTACAAGCTTTCACACGCTGCTTCTTCTACACCACTTACGCTACACCACGTATGCTTGCACCCTCCATTTAAACTCATCGTCTTTCAATAACAATCCATTAAACTCCTAATGGTCCTAGTATTTTAATAGCAGCCACATAGCAGTCTCTTAAAGCTCCTCCGATCTGCCCTTGATTTACTCTTCTTTCAATAGCGGGTGCGGTCCCACCGCATTCGACGAAAATGATCCCCAAACAGGGATCGTGCGTGTCCTGGAATGGTGCAGAAGAGACAAGAGGGCCAGTCCACGTAGCCTCGAAAATGCCTTGTGAAAAGGTGACGACTATCATGCCTATGATGCTTGTTTTCCACCATTGGCTTGACTTTTCGCTTTGCGTGCCTCCTCACCAGTAGGAGTGTTGCGGGATTTCTTCATTTGGCACCGCCTCAGAACAAGGTGTGGCATCCCATATATCATGCCTGAAGCCGCTTTGTCGACGTCTCTTTTTGTTTGAATATCAATTTTGGAAGCTGTTGCGCGGGGCACCGTATGCTGTGAAGACGCCATCAGATGCAGCTTGAATGTCGACTGGCTCAAACTCTTCAAGCGTTCACAGGCTGCGAAGAAGCCAAACGAGCTTTTCCGCTAGTGCCAACTCCGAAGATGTGTAAGTGTTGAAAAGTTTCACAACTGCAAATCACGCACAATTTGATTGCCTGTTTATGCGGTTCGCAGTTTTCGATACGCGGAACCATGTGCAGCGCTGTTAACCGAACTCAGGACTTGCCACAGATTTGTCGGTGGCATGCAGATGATTTGGGATCATGTGGGGTGTGCAGCAGACTGCAGACGCTCAAGCAGAAGAGACGCACCGACAAAGCTGAATTGAAACACGCCATTGAGTCCAGCCATGGAGTATCATTGGGGCTGCTTTGCTTGTGCAAAGCCCAGTCTGTGTTACGATGCAAGCCAGTGACGGAAAAACTCTGCTGGAAGTAATTCTCTTCAGGCCTATGGCCGAATTGGAGCGGCCAGGCGGTGCGGTGATCAGCCTGCAGGTTTGATCAGATGCGCCACAAGTCGGGTAAAGGCTGGTCGCATCTACAGGGGCCAGGTCCGGTCCCTGCGCATTTCACAGGTTTCTCCAGCCAGTGTTGCCTGCAAGCGCTCACAGAGGTGTCACGGCTCCTAAACTACGGCGCGGTCATCAGTTTCGAGACCTCCGAAGGTGCGCCGTGTCAGTCATCTGCTTTGAATTTCAAGCCTCTCGCATTTTTGTAGAACCAAAGGTGGCAAAACAATGCTAGCTCTCACCTCTTGCATGCGCAAGTAAGCTGTGGAAGTTGTAAACAGAATGGGGACAGGGTCGGCTTCGATTGCAGCCTGCTCTCACGAGATGAAAATCCCGAAGCAAATAGTGATGCCCGGAAGATGCCTCAAATGCCATCAGCTTTGCTATGCTTCAGGCTGACAGGTTCACCTGATAATTGTTTGCTCTCTTGACTTGGTGCGTGGCGTTGACCACACTCCTTCTCCCTCCAGTCGTCACCCCAGCGCCAAGAAACGGGAGCTGGCATCACAGCTCAACACGTAAAGAAAGTTTGCCTGGGTCAACAGCAGAAGCCATAGAAGCCACCAAAGCTTCGCCTCTGTATGGACATGGCCATCATGCAAGCTGATCTCGCCTGCCACCGTCAGGAAAGCACGAAGGATGGCTACACCCAAGTGACCTGCCAACTTCAAGGACACGAAAGTGGATTTGGGTTCGAAGGGCTCGCCAGACTTGATAGGCAAATCTCGAGCCTTCCAGTGAATGCAGCGGATGTGGGCCACAAAAGCCGCCAGGAATGGGCAGTGCTTTGTGATGATTGTAGGCTCGGAGGGCTTCTTTGCTTCATGATTTCATGACAAGTGTATTTACAAGCGCGTCGTGACTCGAATCACCTGCACGGCGCAGAATGTGAGGCCATTCAGGGACGATGCACAAGCTGGCTGTCCACTTGGATCAAGAGAGTGTCAAGGCACTGTGTGATCAGGGTCAAGGGGAGGACAATAAGCCCAGGGCGCCTGGTAATCTGCGCCGATTGAATATCTTGAAAGATGGTATCAGAATTCTTGAAGCTTGGTCTTCGTCAAGTGGATCAAAACATGGACCACTCGCGCAGACCCTTCCAGTTTGCAAGGGGGATAGAGTGCCTGCCCCATCAAGAAGCTTATTCAGTTCTTGAGCCTTTGTCAGTCAAGCCCGTCAACGCCGACATCGACAAGGCTGGGAAGCGTGAATGAGTTGGTCCTGTCAGCCAGGGCTTGAAATCCCTGCGATGCAAGGCCTTCTTCTAACGCAACATTTACACCATCTCCAAGGGACAGCGTGGAGGATGATACTGTTGACAATGGGATGTGGATCTGCTGGCGTAAGCACCTCAAATGCCCCTCCACCAGGAGTCGAGTGATGAGCAGCAGGACACCCAGATGCCTTCTTGCTGATTGACGGTGCGTTAGCTGAACACGCATCCTTGGACGACGGTCTTGAGGCCAACCCCACCGCTTTCTCCTCAGCCGCAGGGCGGCGATTGTGTGCCGGCCTTGGTAGGGGTCGTGAAGGGTCGCGATGCTGCGCGGTCTAGAGTTGGCTTTGCAGAAGCAACACCTCATCGGTGTTTCAAAAGGCTCCTTGACCAAACGACCACTGCATGAGATTTCTACAAATCGAGGTATGTGACTTCATGTTCACCTGTGCCTCTGCAGTTTTCATGGCACAACGGCTGCCCCTCATTCTGGCAGCTGCAGGAACGACCGGGGGTCTTGGCGGATTAGGGTTCAGGGTTCTTTCCGAGCTTCTGCAGTATCGGGTTGAGCCAGGTCCTCCTCCGACCCCTCTTTCCTGCCCTCTCCCTGACTTCGGAGAGTCATCCTCTGCCTTCGAGCTACCTAGCTCGCTTGATCTTCCTTCTCTGCTCTTGGGCTTGGCCTTTGGACTTTGCTTTGGGCCGATCGTGGACTTACTGTTCTTGGTTCGTCACGGTTGGGCTCGACTTGTTCGTGTGCAAGCTCGAGCGGCTACTCGAGGGTCTTCGCTTTACCGGCTTCTTGAATGAGTGTTGAGGGCGGCCTGCCCCCTGCTGTTGAACGTTTACTGCGGGACCTCAGGGCGGAGGTCCGGACCCTTTCTCTCCGCACCCAGGCTCTCGAGGCTCGCATCGCCCTCCTCGAGGAGTTTGAGGTGGTTGTCGCCCCTTCTTCTTCCACTTCGCGTGTGCCCTCCAGAGGTCCTGCCTCGGCATCCACTCCTCCCTTGACTCCTGCCCGGCCTGCTTCCACAGCTGCGGTCCCTTTTCCTTCTCCGACTTCCTCTCTTTCGGAGCCTGCTGAGGTTCCATTGGAGGCAGCCGACACCGAGGGCCGAGCCGCTCTGGCACGTGAAATCGGTGCTTTCCTTAGGCGGTCCTTGGACGGTGGGTATAGGGGCAATTCGGGTCGTAGTCGGTTGAGGTTGCAGAGTAGGCTGTACGTCGCTCTGAGCGACGCCCGTGGGGAGCCCTTCCCCGAACCTCGGGTCTTCTCACGTGTGTCTGATCTTCGCAGTGCAATTTTCAATCGGGGCAATCCGGGGGAGTCTACCTTCATCGGCTTCGCTTCTCAGTGGGAGGCTCGACTTGCCTTGAGGGAGGCTGGTGTCACTGTGCCGGCCGAGTTGGCTGGTGCTGGAAATGGCCGCTGAAGGCCTTGCTGCTCCCGTGCCCGAGGGAGAGCCGGGTGCGGAAGTGGAGGAGGAGGAGGAAGGCGAGCCTCTTACTTTGCGTGATTGTTTGCTTGACCTCGGCGAGTTGATTGACCCTCATTCTGTCTCGGTGGGCATTTTGGCCCCGGGACCTGCAGCAGCTCCCGGAGCCACCGTGGCTCTGATCCCTGTCACTGTGAGTGACGACCTCTGCCTTTGTGCTGTGCCGCACGCAAGTTGGAATAAAGCAATCGCCCGACGCAAGCTGCCAAAGGGATGCCTGGTCCGCGCTGTGAACGTGGAGGTGCCGGCTCAAGGCGAGCCCCCTTCGCTAGCCCATGCTGCCTTGAAGGTGAAGGTTTGGATAGGGTTTTTGGATCGGACTCAGGAGTCCTGCTGGACGGCCGGAGGAGGAGAAAGCGCTCAGTTTCCCTTTCGTGTGTCCGGAAGTCCCGGGGCTACGGCATTGCCTTTTTTCCCGGCACTTCTTCAAGTTGCTCAGGAGCAGTTTGGCTTCGAGACCGGCCAGTCAGGGCTAGGGGCGGAGACGGCGGAAGAGCCAGACCCTTTGGCCCTGCGGGTCGGCGCCATCGAGAAGGCGCTCGGCTCGGTCCAGGTTGGTTTAGAGAAGCTTCTTCAGCAGCGCCCTGCTGCGCCTGCCGGGCCCGCGGCCGCTTCCGACCTGCCTCGCAAACCTGTGCCGGTGGACGACATCCCTGCGCCTCCGGGCCTCGACCCGAGCACTGTTGCCGAAGCCAGGCGAGCCGGGGTGCCGGAGTCCCAACTGAGGCTCTTAGGCGAGCTTGCTGCGAAGCCGAACAGGATGGGAGACGGACGGGGAAAGCCCATCACTCGCGCTTCCGGGCCTCTCTCCGAGTCCGAAGGAGAGGAGGCCCCAGGCGCCGGCGGAGCGGGCTTGACAGTCGAGGATGCCCGGGCCCTTCCCCCTATGGAGCGGGCCGTCCTGGAGATGAGCGCTGTACTTCAGCGTCTGGCGAAGAAGGAAGAGCGCCCCCGCGCCGACCTCGAGGACCTCAGCAGCTCTCAGTTCGACGGCTCTGGTGCAGGAGGAGCTTCTCGTTCGAAGGCGGCGGCTTACTCAAAGTTGTGCCGCCTGATCAAGGAGGAGGAGCCGGAGAGGATCGTGGAGTCCATCAGCCGGCTGGTGGAGGAGGACTTCTCTGGGATGAGAGCCGGGCCGGGTTCATCGCAGCACACCGCGACGATGCGGGGATGGTTAGAACACCGATCTCATATCCCCGGCCTCGCTGGCCCGGTCCGCTGGGCGTGGGCGGTCGCGGGAAGAGCCGACGCCCTCGCGGCAGGTCGGCCGGAGGAGGCTCATGCCCGGAGCTTGCTGCTCCTTGCAGCAGCGGACCAAGCGGCCGTAGACTCCGGCTCTTGCCTCCTCGGTGCCGAATTTCAGCTTCCGCGGGCCAGAGCTTCACGAGCAGCAGCACACGCGGATCTTGGATCCGAGATGGATCAGCGTCGCCGTGGCCAGGATCAAAGAACGAGAGGCGTTCATCGAAGTTCGGCGCAAACTCGGCGCCGGTGTTGGACGTCCCGGTGGTGGCGCGAACGCCTCGAACCAGGAGGCGGGCGAGAAGGAGAAGGAGGAGAAAGGAAAAGGCAACCGGAAGGGAGCAAAGGCCGAAGCCAAGTGAGCTCGTGGGTCCCTTCGCTGCGGTGTCTGCCTACCTGCGCTGAGGCATCGCTTGGATGTTCCTTTGGTACTAACCCGCACTTGGTGGAGCCGGGTCGGGGCCAGTGCTTTGCTTCGGCGTTTCAGGGCGATACCGCCTCTTCCCCGAGTGGGCGCTCCTGTGCACCTGCTCGCAATCCCACTGCTTCCTCTGCGCCCCCTGGGCTCAGCGATGTTGCCGCTTGTGCTGGCACCGTGGCTTCGGCTGCAAATCCCTCTCTTGTTTTTGAAGTGCTTGAGCCTAGTTGCCCGGCAGCCTCAGTTTGCTCCGGTGTACCTGCTCGCAATTCCGCTGCTTCCTCTGCGACTGGGCCCTTTGATAAGCCTTTAGGAAGGGTATCGGACGTAGCGTCGCCGAATGCCTTCGGTCGCGGTGGCACGCCCATTTGTGAAGGCCACGCTGCATGCACCACGAGTCAGCCCGTACCTGACCCCTCTAGTTTCGGTTTAAGGGATCGTTGCCACCCTAGTTCGCCTCATAGCCAGGGGGTTGTTAGTCCCGACCCCGTGTGCTCGGGTGATGTTGCTTCGAGCTCCCCCGCTGCCGATCCCGCACAGTTTTCTTCACCGTCGAGCGTTCCCGGGTCTCGGGCCTCGACCTTTGATCCTGCCAACCTGTGGCACGACTTTTTCTCCTGTCTCGGAACTTCTGATTCCGCGTTTTCGACGTTTTGGCACTCCGTTCGTTCGTTACCTCGTCCTGCTCGAGGGCCCTTGGGGCGCGTGTGGCCCATGCCCGTGCCCTTTCCTTCGCTGCACCGTGCTAAGGCAAAGCGCCGACAGCCCGATGCTGCGCGCAAGCTCGGTCTCAATGCCCTTGTGCTTGCTTTGTCCTGGCTCAGCTTGGGCTGTCCTTCTGTCGCCCCTCCTTACTTGGGCCTCGGGGCTGTGCTCAGCCGGGAACAGTGGGCAGCTGTGAAACGCCTGTCGGTTAACGTGTCAGCTTGGAACTCCTCGGGTCAAGTTGACTGGGCCGCTATGGGGCGATGTGCTGCCAAAGTTGAGGCTACCGAAGGAAGCCTCAAGGAACTTGCTCGCCAAGCCAGCTCTACCTTGGACTTCGAGAGCGGCAAGCCTTTAGGCAATGAAACGGCTCGCGCCTTGGCTCCGCTCGCCTTGAGCGTGGATCCTTCCCGTATCTCCTTTACGGGGACTCCTTGCTTTGATCCTCGGCCCTTCTTGGGTCCTGCCAACCGGCTCTGCTTTGAACGGCCTCTCACATGGGCTGCGGAGGCAGAGCCCTTGAAGCCAGTGCCAAGAGTGAAGCTTCACTGCAAGCGTGAGCATCTGAGAGGATTTTTGGAGCTTCTTGATGCGGGTGACAGGCTTGAGCTGTTTCCGTTTTGCGGGCTGTTGACTACTCTCGAGCCTGCGGGGTCTTCGCTGTCAGCAAAGACGCCGAAAGAGACCGGTTGGTGCTGGACGCTCGACCCGCTAACGCGTATGAGGATCCGTGGAATCCCTGGGTCCGCTCGCTTGCTTCGGTGGAGCAGTTTCGATTTCTCTTTCTTCCTGAATCCCACGACATGTTGGTGCACTCGGAAGATATAAGAGATTGCTATCACTGTTTCGAAGTTGGGTCGGAGCGTTCCCTCCGAAACTGTCTCCGCGTCAAACTTCGGCCCTCGGACTGTCGAGGCCTCAAGGCCATGAAAGCTTCACTCGACAACGAGGACTGGCTGGTCCCCGCGTTGAGGACGGTCGCTATGGGCGACACAGCTGCAGTGGGGATGGCGCAATGCTCCCACCTCGGTGTCATCCTATCAACCGGTCGAGTTTCCCTTAGCTCTTTCATGACTCTTGAAGGCAGGCCTCCTCGGTCCGGGCCGGTGTGCGACTTGGTCATAGATGATTTCGTGTGCCTGGATCCGGTGGATCGGCTTGCTCCTTCTCCGAAAGGGCCCGGCATCATTCGTGCTGTGCGCACGGCTTACACCACTGTGGGCCTCCCTCGCCACATTACGAAAGCGGTGGAGGGCGCACCGCGTGCCGAGTTTTGGGGGTGCTCGTTTGACGGGCTTTCCGGACGAGTGCGTCCGAGCAGCAAAAGGGCCGTGCCGCTGGCTTTCCTTGTTTTGCAGCTCGTCACCGTTGGTCGGACTACCGTGGACCTGCTCGATTCGGTCGTCGGCGGTATCGTGTCCTGCTTTCAATCTCGCCGGCGGTGCTTGGCCCTGATGCAGAGAGTGTACTCAGATGCCCGTCCCCGTGACCGGACCGAGGTCTTCAACTTGACGCCCCACGCGCAGGGTGAGCTTTTGGCTGCCGTCGCCTTGTTGCCGCAGTGTGACATTGATTTGCGTGCCCGCGCTGCTCCTCTGGTCTTGGCCACCGATGCCTCGAATGAAGCCGAAGCGGGAGCGATGTGTGCCGTGCCCGAAGAAGCTGCTCAGGAGATGTATCGCCATACTTTGGCGAAAGGCCTCTGGAACAAACTCCTTTCCCCGATCGCTGCTTATTCGCGGTCAAAAGGTGACCTAGCGGCCCAGGATGAGCTCCCCGGGATTGGGGACGGGTACTCTTCGCATCCGCTTTGGGTCGAACTGGCGACTTCGCAGCCGTTTGTTCCCTTCGGTTCAATTGCCCGTGTTCGGCACAAGCGCCATATAAACATTGGGGAAATGCGTGCGGCCATCCGAGCGGAAGAGAGGCTTGCCCGCCTCTACCAGGACATCCGCTATGTCCACCTCCAGGACAGCCAAGTATCCCTTGCAGCGATGACTAAGGGCCGGAGCAGCTCGGACTCACTGAACAGGGAGCTGCAACGCTCGTTGGGGGTTTACATCAGTGCTGGACTTCGACCGGGCTACGGGTACCTGGAAAGCAAGCTTAACCCATCGGACGATCTGACCCGCAGCGCCCCACTCAGATCGCCCAGCCGGGCTCCGTCTGCTTGGTTCGAAGGGTTTCTGCAAGGCGACCTCGCCTCACTCCACCGTTTCCTGGATTCAGTTGGGCTTGGCGCCAGTGTGGGTCTCGAGCCAGTCTCCTGTGAGGCCGAGGTGGTTCCGAACCATTCAAGCGCGGAGAAAGGGCTCACTTCTTGCAGCAAGCCTTCTCTCCAACGGAATCGCCGTCCTGCATTCGGGCCTTTTCGGCCCCTTTCCTCCGAGGCCTTGGACTTACTCAGCCGAGCGTCTTCTGGACTTTTCGCCTTCCACCCTGACTGCCGTGACCTGCAACGTGCCTTTCGATCGGGGCCTGGCTGGTTGGGGTTATTTCAGGGTTCAGGGCAGTTCCTGCGTGGTTTGGTAGCCTCTCGAGCCGCGCCATGGACGCTGCTCGTTGGAACCCAGACTGACGCCGAGCGAAGAGCATTGGTTACAGGATCCGAGCTGGCTGTGGGAGCTTCTTCGTGCAGGCGCTTTCGCTGGAGTGTATGTGTGTCCCGAAGCTGGCACTTTTTCGGCCGCCGTTCGACCACCTCTACGTAGCAGCCTGCATCCCGAAGGAGTTCCCGACCTTAAACCTGAGGCTCTTGCGAAGGTACGTTTGGCGAATCACAGAAGCCATCGAGCTCTGGACATCGCAGGGGTGGCCGCCGAGAGCGGTGTCCGCCTGCTCGTCGAACATCCTTACAATGGGTGCTTCTGGAAACTAGCTGCCTGGAGCAAGCCTTCGTTGGCTAGCAGGTGGCGGGATTCTGTTCTTGACCTTTGCTGTTTCGGGTCGCCTTTTCGCAAAGCGACCCGAATACGAGCCTTCAACTTTGACGGTCTGGAGCACAGGCGCTGCCAATGCGAGAGGAAGCACCTGCAACTTCGTGGGCGTAACCCTGCGACTGGCAAGAGTTGGGCGAGTGAAGCTGGAAAGAAACCGAAAGAGTTCCTCAAGTACCTCGTGCAAGCAGTTCGCCAGAGCGAGCCAAAGTACAACCGAGAACGTTTGGATGTGGCCGGGTGTTCGCGCTCCAGCTCTCTTCGAGTTGAGGGAAGCCGTTGTACCGGGACCTCGGCAAATCCGGAACCGCCAACCTCTCGAGCTCGCGGCTGTCTCCTTGGTCGAACCGGCGACTGCGGCTCTCCGCGCTCGCTACTGGGATCTCTTTTCAGCTTGGATCGACGAAGCCGCTGGGGATGGAGCGAGCGCAAACGTGCTTCGGCTCCCTTTGCTGCTGGTGTCTCTTCTGGTGCAGTTCGCTCAGTACTTGTACGACGCTGGCACCCCTCTGCACTACTACCGGCAGTTGGTGGCGCATGCTCAACGTGAAGTTCCGGCCTGTCGTCCTTGGATTCGGCAAGCTTGGGAATTTGTAACTCGGTGGGAAATGCTGGAGCCCTTGCAGCACAGGCCTCCGCTGCCCGAGCCGGTGCTGCACGCCATTTGTGCAGTGGCGGTTCTGTGGGGATGGCACCGTTGGGCCGCCGTCACTCTGGGCGCTTTCTACGCCATCTGCCGACCAGGAGAGTTCGTTCGTGCGTTCCGCGAGCAGCTTCTCACCTCGTTCGACCTCCTGGAAAGTGGTAACGAGTTCTTCTTGCGCATCCCTGAGCCGAAAACTCGTCGAAGAGGAGCGCGTGTTCAGCACGCGCGCATCAAGGCGCCGGAGTTTGTGCTCCTCTTCCTTCAGAAAGTGTTTCAGCCGCTTCCTCGTGGTTGCCCCTATGTCACTATGTATCGGAGACGTTGGGATGCTCTTTTGAAAGCTCTGCTGATCGAGCCGAAGCACCGGCTCACACCTGGCTCACTTCGGGGCGGAGGAGCTGTTCGAGCTTTTCGCTCTGGGGAGCCGCTGGCTGAGGTGCAGTGGCGCATGAGACTGCGGCATCAGGAGACGCTGGGCTATTATTTGCAGGAAGTCACGGCCCTGTCAGTCCTCCCGGCTCTGAGTTTGCCTTCCCGAGCAAGAGTGCAAGGAGCTGCAGCCAGCCTTTCTTCTGTGCTGGCTGTCGCGTGTAGCGGCGCAGACTCGCTGGCCGCGAAGTGAAGTAGCGGTGGCGAAAACTTTCAGCTTTCGAGCTTTCTCTCGGGAAGTGAAGTCCCGAAAAGGCCTAAGTGGCCGAGACTTGTCCGACGCGAGGAGCGGAGTGCCAAAAACTGTGAAGTTTTTGGAGCTGCAGAGTGAAGGTTAACATGTGACTTCATGTTCACCTGTGCCTCTGCAGTTTTCATGGCACCCTCCCGCCCGCCCGGTGGCGAAAACTTTCAGCTTCCGAGCTTTCTCTCGGGAAGTGAAGTCCCGAAAAGGCCTAAGTGGCCGAGACTTGTCCGACGCGAGGAGCGGAGTGCCAAAAACTGTGAAGTTTTTGGAGCTGCAGAGTGAAGGTTAACATGTTTCGTAACTTGCTTTTTGCCCGCCATTGTAAGGCCTCAAAGCCAACTGCAAGTTAGCAAAACAAGTGATTTCTTCGTGCATGCATATTCATCAAACCCCAAGGCATGAATATGCGGCACTGTCATCCCCGCAGTCTCTGTCAGCGTCTGTCAGCCTCTGTCAGGAGGAACCTCGTGGGCGGAAACCTGAGCAGAAAAAGGCCGGGAGCTTCCGGCCCGGGATGGTTCTTCTTGGAATCTGTAGCACGTTGAGAAGCATGGGGTGGAGCTTGAATTGTCGAGCTTGATGCCAGGTCCCAAGCAGGGAGGAGACATTCGCCAGGTGGGCGAAGAAGGCCAGAAACAGCTGACTTGCAGATGCAACTCGTTTCCGCTGATTACGCCGAGCCCCGAATCAACAGTTGAGTTGCTGCCGTGTCATGGATACATCTGGCCACATCATGCATCGTGCAGAAGCCGTCGGCGGAGATGCACCAGAAGTTTGAGGCCTGGCTCACTAAGCAGACCGGTAAGGCGCAAATTCCTGAAGCAGCCCACCCCCCCAAAAAGCTGTTGAGCACATGCATTATGCAGAATCCAACGGAGGAGATGCGTGAGAAGTTCGCCAAATTGGATGCTTGGCTCGCCAAGCAGGCCTACAGCGGTTGGCTTCCAGATCACCTAGACTGTTGACATGATGGTAAGTCATAGATAAATTTGATCGCATGCATCGCGCAGAAACCTCTTGGTGCACGCATACGCGTATTTGCCAGCAGCAAAAGTGGATGTCCTGCTGCCCCTGAGTGCGCTCGGCCTGCCGGAAGTCCAGCGCAAGCAGCTCCAGGCGTGACAGTGGGAGGGCCCACTTTCGGCTATCCCGAGGTTTCAACCGGGTTGGCCCGTTCTTGGTCTTGTTCACTGTGTTTGTTCGGCCAGGCCGCACACAAGATGTTGTCAACCTATGTTGAAGTGGGGTTTGGCCTTTGGCACGCTGACATGTCTGGTTGCCATGGACCAGGATTTTCCAAGATTGATTGGACGATAGCTTCGCATCGCGCAGTCTTGCTGGATTTGTGGGAAGGGGCAGGGGCGTGGATGCCATCACCCATGTACATAACAGCGTTTACAGTTGCATATGTTGCAAGCAGGAAAATATCCCCGCCTGAGAAGCTAAACGGTTCGAGCGGAAGGTATAGGTGCATGCACCTCATCCTAGTCATTTGAAGGCATGCAGAGAACCCTGCCAGTACGACACTCTTGTAGGAACCAAAGCATAAAACTGATGGCCGATCACAATGTCACAAGGCTTTTCCATCCTTCAGGTTGGGGCCCAGCAGTCTTTTGTAGATCGTAGAAAACAGACCCGGCATCCTGAACCCAAAGCTGTGAGGCAGTACCAAAATGTGCCAAAACTTGTTCAATCATGTTCGACGGCCACGAGGTGTTTCCTGCTCCCGCCGCAGCCCTTGCGAGGCGGGGCATGTCAGTGGGCGCATGACAGGGCTGGCGCCCACAGCCGGCCACGCCACGCAGTAGTAGTAGCAGTAGTAGCAGCAGTAGTAGTAGTAGTAGTAGTAGTAGTAGTAGTAGTAGTAGTAGTAGTAGTAGTAATAGTAGTAATATTCATTCCGAGCGTCGCACGATCCGAGTGCATGACGAGGAGGTCATACCTTTGGTCCGGCTGCTCGGGTGATATGGATCATGTGTTCTTCTTGACGATGGCGCAGTTGCTTCCATATCCCAAGGATATGCAATCGACCACTTGGTCCATGATTGTTTTGTGGAACGAATCGAAAGGGTCTCATCCAAGATGGGGGCCTGATGTTGGACTGGATTTCACGGACCAGCCAGCACCCGCTCCCGCGGTGCCACCGCAGCCACCGGCCGCGGACGATGACGTGGATCATCCTGGTTATGATGATCCGCATGGTGATGTGCCTGTGGACGATAAGGATATGCCTCAGCAACATCCGGAGCAGGATCTTGACGACGATCCGGTTGAGCTCCATGTTGGTGGTGATCCTCCATCTCAACCACCTGGAGGCGGTACTCAGGTGCCGGTACCAGGAGGCGATGATGATGATTCTGACCTGCATATGCCACATGATCCGAATGGCGGAGGGCAGCCGCCAGGAGGCGGTCCACCAGGACCCGGACCTGGGTATGGCCTGGAAGAGCCGCCTCTTCCACTGGAGCACCGTGAGGAAGCACCTTCTCCCGGAGGATCTCCGGATGCTGCTGGGGCTCCGCCACAGTTTGCGAACTGGGATCAAGTCCTTAGTCCGCCTATGCCGTGGCCGGCACCACCTTCACCTATTATTCCCGTTCCTATTCCGCCTCATCCGCAGTTTCCTTGACACAAAATTTGCGACCGCCGTCACCGAGAAGTGTGTCACAGACTCGTGTCAGAAGGCCGAACGGGCAAAGACCATTTATTGGTTGGCCAAGACTGATCGCAAAACTGACTTTTCTGACAATGGCATGATTTAAACCATCGAAATATCATGTTCATGCATCGAGTTTGGCAGGCTTGGGTGTGCATGTATCATTTTTGAGGAACCTTGTACCTGCTTGCTAATGTTGGCTTGAGCTGCAGCTAGAGCCAAACCTGGCAAGCTGGTATTCTTTTCTGTTATTGGAGAGTGACTCCAGCATAGGCAAGGGATGTGGCCACGCGTGTTGGCCCTATTGTCTATACGGCATCCCGTGTGCTTTCGGCTGAGAACATGTCTGCCTTCATGAGGTATATGGCCGAATGTAGCAACACAGGGGGTTCCGAGGGCTTCTGGCATGTCTGGAATCAGGTGTGTGAAGTGGTACACTACTTCCCAGCCGTTATCGAAGTGGTTCCCAACCTCAGGATCGATGGCAGGCCTGTGCCGCTTCGCAGGGTGCGTTGCATTTCCCAGCCGTGTGCCAGGTGCGAGCAGGGTCGTGGGGGTTACCAGTTCACTTGGTTGGGGCCGTGGTCGGTGCGAGCTACGGTTGTGCCGGATGGGTGGCACCCGGATGATGCAAGAGCCAGGTTCTACGATTGAAGTTTTGCTCTCGCCTGAGGAAATGGTCCGGTATGGGTCCGACATCACTGTCCAGGACATGTTGTCAGCTACCATGGCACGTGTCCTGTACATGGCCGAGATCAACTCCCTGCATTGCCGGGAGCTTCAATCGCATCGGTTCTGGAAACTTGGCCACAGTGGCAGCAAGGGGAAAGGCGGAGCCACCATCGGGTCAGGGCCGGGAAACGTGCTCCAATCCGGAGGTGTGCATTCTTTGTACGGCCTGCCTCCCAGCTGGTCCTCATACTGCTTGAGGAGGCTCATGCTGTTGGCAGAGACGTGCTGTACCTTTGGAACACAGAGGTAGGGACACTGCGGCGGGTCTGACCAGGCTTCCAGGAAATAGTCGGTACAATGCCACATTGGGGTCACCGCCGATCGAATCGACCTGGTAGTACAAGCAATCTGTAAACATCGAGCCGAGGCATTCACGAGCAGTAGCTATTCAATAGCAGGCTTCTTCGCGGCGATCACATTGTTGAGATGGAACATACAAATGCGAAAGCGGTTTGAGACCGCTCGCTCCAGGGTGTGTTTAGCACTGAGTCTGGTAACTCGCCTTTGTTCCCCCGCTGTCCAGGCGGCAGTGTCTTCCGGTAGACAACCTCCACAATCATGTAAGTGAGAGGGAGATGCGAGCGAGCTACCGACCAGTGTCGAGCCTGCTAATCGCGTCAACCTGGAGTCCACGAGATTGGTCCTGCTTCCAATGAGAATGTCACGAGAAGGATTCTGGATCGTCTGCCATCCTCGTGCATGTAGGAAGTCAAGTTCCTGTCGCGACACCTCTGAAGCTTCGCATAACATAAAAAGGATGTGGTTTGCTCTGAGCTACCGACTTGACCCATCCTCTGCAAGACCTAAAACGAACGAAAGATGGCTTCGGCATCTTATCCAGTGATAAATCCCCGATCTCATCTTCATCCACCCCTGCACTGAGGAAGTAGTGGAGCATTGCATTGAGAAGCTCCTCCCGTGTAGCTGGATTGCCGTCTTCATGGAGTTGACGAGCCTTCTCCTGGAGTGCTTCATGTGCTTCAACAAGAGCCTGAGCTCTGATTTTGAAGCTTTCTCCATGAGTCGATCGTCCAGGGTGTTACGGATTCTCCAGTGCGGAAGACATAGTGACATAGTCCATTCGATCTGGATGACGTTCATAGATGGGACCCATCTTGCACATCTGTCGGAAGAGATCATCTAGAGAGTGAACTTTTGGTTCGGACGTGGCTCCATCTGAACGCGCCAGCAGATGTGCTGCACCTTGACAGCGCTCACAGGATCGGCCTCCTCATCGCGGATACCACTGCGGTGCAGGCCGCTGTAACCATAGCCACGCTTCAGTTCCATCAGACGACGGATAGGACTCGTCCTCCCACGTTTGGCCTGGTCAGCGATGAAGCGCTTGTACCCCTCGGTATCCTGGAGGCCTAACTTCTCCTTCGCGCCCTCCATGTTTTCGAACAACTTCTCGTTCTGGGCCGCTGACTCCCTGGCTGCCATATATATATATATATATATATATATATATATATATATATATATATATAGATATGCCTCCGGATCGACGACGGTTGCACACTTCTCCTCATGTGACTCGGCTTCCGGTGCCATGTCGACGTCGGCGGTCACCTCCGCGTCACCCATGTGCTCATCTTTGGTATACGATACCTCTCCCTGAAAAGAGCATTCGGCAGGTTCGACCTTGACCCAAGATG